ATGAGGATGATGCGAAAAACCAAGTAGTGATCACATTTAGTAAAAAAGACTAAGTAAAGTAAAGTGAAGCAGTAATTTTGATTGTGAAATCTTTAAAATTATATTAGAAAAGTGAGTGCAGTAAAACAAAGCATGTCCARTTTAACTCCTATCACAAGACTGATGATTTTGTCAGGCGTTCCCTCTCCAAACATCTCYTCAATCAGAAAAGGAAGTCTTCCAGTCCTTATCCTGCCAAGATAATGATCCACAGACACACATGTCTGGCCGATAATTTCAGTTATTATMTAAACAACAATAACCTCTATTTCTAATTGTAGTTCCCATTTATCAGTTTTCAGAAAGAGACAAATAGTAGAAATCAATTGACTCCCTTCCTCTTATTTCAGTGAGTGCCACCAAAGATCATGAAGTGCCAGATGTGTGCAGAGAGCCTGTCTGTCAAGAAACCACTGCTATGTATCATACAAATAATTAGTGATTGAAAGTTGCTGGTGTCTCTAAGCACAACACTTACAAGCTGCTGGAATCAATCTGAATTTTTTAGCTGTTTTTCCAGTCTCACCTTAAGAGCAGAGAAGTTTCGCAGAGCAAAGTTCACAAATTAATTTTTTCCAGTAGAAAATCTGAGTTAAATGTTTCCTGCCATCTCCTGTGCYCATGCCCACTCTCTGTTCATTACCACTGTTTGAGCAGCTCATGTCACTGACACAGCCCAGCCACACTCACCACACTGAGTGGGCAGTRCAGGAAAAAGTCTCAGTGCCCTGGAGCAGCTTTGCTGCTGAGCTGTACAGGGGATTACCCAGTAGTAGTTTGGGGCTTCCTAAATTAGTGCCATGAGTAATTCAATCAGGCTCAGGCAACAAAATGGATCCAATCCAAAATCCAATCCAACTCACTTCGGTAGCGAATTACATCTGAATTTTAGATGCCTCTTGAGCCAGTGCTTCTAAAATAAATCCCATATATAGCCAGGGGGGGAGTTAGGTGCCTTTGAGAGCCTCCTGAGGGACAAACTAAATTGGGCAGGCATGATCTCCCTCTGGAGTTGCTTTTCTAGGATTTATCTCTCTCTATTGAACATGGAGGGAATTGGGCACTTAATTTAAGAGAACTAGTTCACTCTGTGCTCAAAACATAGGTGCTAATTAGCTGCCCATGCCTGACTGGAAACCCCCCCCCCAGTTTAGAGTCTAAATAATTTATCTTAAAGACTAGTATTATGTTATGCCCTATTAAAATTTTTAAAAAGAAACAAACCAGCATGGTTTGTGCACTGCAAACAGATAAAGATCAAGAAAGCAGTAAGTGAGTGTATAAAATAGGATAAGGACCGTACCTTAGAGTCACTGCTAAATAATCCTTGCTTTGAGTGTTTTGAGCCAGTGGTGCTGATATCAGGTACTTTTGACTCTCCCAGTATCTCTCCCAAACCATCCAGAAGCCCCACTTTGATGCTTTTTTGAATGAAAAATTCCAGTAGCAGTTCTGAGGTAAGAAATCCACCTTTTTCTGTTGTGCTGTTCCCAGAAAACTCATTTGAATTTCGCAGYATCTTGTACTATGGCTGAGTGTCTTCAGATGCGTTGGTAGTATAGGGAATAGCAGCCTCCACAGATCTCACATATCCTTCAATTAAAGGAGCGTGTGGGCTTCTTCTTTAATCAAAATGAATCTTATAAAGACAATTTAAGAGACAAACAAAATTTTAGAGACATTWTGAGAATTTATGGCACCCACTGGCTAAAGTAGTACTCAGAAASCCCCATTTTCCCAGGCTGTCTGCACCACTTGGTGTGTGTACAAATATTGGGCACATCAATCCACTGACTCCTGCCCCCAGTGCTGCTTCTCCAGCACCCAGAGATGCTTGGTGGCTTTCCTGATTTCCCTTTGCTTCCCTCATCTGTAACATAGATAATACTCCTCAGCTCTGAGGTGGTGCCAGGCTTGATTCATGAATGTTTTAAAGCATTCTGTGATTTTCAACCTGATAGGTGYTTGAGAACCATAAATTATTGGTTTAATATAGATCATAGGTTTCATCTCATAAATCTTTTATGCCCTACTCCAAATTCATGCCTGATATAACTCTAATAAGTTGAGCAGAATTAAGCTGTGGATAAATTTGGTACAGKACATGAGGCAGCAAAATGAAATTCCGAGTGTGAGACCAAGGGCTTAACAAGTGACACTGCWTACACAATAATGCCAAAAATCTACCCCGCTGCCCACTTCCCTACAGAAAAAATAGCCCCTGGCACTCTAACTTGTTATGTCTTAATTCATCATTAAATGCCTGTTTCAYGTCAAAATGGTACTTTTCTAATATATCCTGTTGCTATACATAGTTTGTGTTTATTGAGAACAAGTGGACACAATCAGTTTTGCTGTCTGTTTTGACCCAAACATTTGAGTTGAAAGCAGATTATTTTCCATAGGAATCTTTGAATACCTTTCAAACCTTTCCTACAGTTTCTAGTCCTTAGCCATGGGAGCATATTTCCCTACAGCTGAAATAACTTTCCTCCTCCARTGTTATCTGACCAATCTCCCTTTATGGGTATATGAAGAGTAACTACATTCCTATTCAATCTTCATTTTGTYAGCACAAGCAATTCAAACTCTTTTGGTCTTGCTGTAAAATGTAATTAAATCTAATAAACATAATAAAGAAAATTCTAAGGACATGATAACCATCTTGGAAAAGGGAAAAAAAAMCATTAGCCCTCATACTTCAGTTAGACCTTCAAAAAATTCAGATCTTTATTATTCTTGTCTCCTTCCCCTTCATGACTCTGATTCTTAGCATTATTTCTGATCTTCCCAGAGTTTATTTTCTGACCTCTGCAGTAGGTTTGGGCAATAAATTGCCTTTCCAGTCAGTCTTTGGATTCTCTGTCCTTTACTGCCTGCAATGAGTGATCTTGGGTGCTTCGGTTATTATAATCTTGCTTTATTCCATCCTACCCCCAATCTTTTCTACTGAAGAAAATTTCCACAGAATGTAATGGGAAACCTGATAAGCATCCGAATCTTATGTGATAATGTACCCTAYTGACAGTCTTATAGATACAGGAACGGAATATTTCCTCTGAAGTTTTTTTTATTTACAGTGATTCCTATACAACCTCTTCTTTCATCCCTCCTGCCACTCTCCAAATGGTCTAAGACTTTTCTTTATGCTGTGTAAATGCAAAARGAAAAATATACACAATCAATTTTTGCTGATATCTGGATAAAAGTTTAAAATACTAAAAGTAGCATGAATRAAACTTAACTAGGCATCCAGGTTCATGTTTTTCAAAAATAGTCATGAGTTAGGATTGTTACCAAAGCATAAAAAGAAAAATTAGGTTAAGTCTTAAATATCAGCATTCAGTGAATTTGTAGACCTGGGGATAATGGAAATCAAAGATGTGCATTTGATATAAATGCAATTTCCAAACAAGTGTTGAGATTTACCAAATTAAGCAAGTGCCTTCTGTGCCTTGAATGAGACAGCAACCTGGACAGCCAGTCCAGAGTTAAACCCCCATGATCACATCCCTGGTGAGGAGCATCTGCAGTCTGGGTTTAGCACTTGCACATTTGGAGTTTGGGACAGCAGCACTGCCAGGTTTCTAAATTCAGAGGCCACATTTGCAGGTTGTGCTGCACTCAGCTGGGCAGGCAATCACTCATCTGTCTTCCATGGTACTCGTGGAAATTGGTGTTTCAGTGCAAAGCTCTGAGGTCCTGGGCAAATGCCTTTGTGCACACACACAGCAAGTCAGTGTTAGATACCAGCTTCASTGTTTGATCCATCAAAATTGAGGGGTTTTTTTGTTTCAAGAGCTCCGGTATTTTCCTGCAACTTTGCAGTACAGAAATCAAGCACTGAACAGCAGTGAATCTAATCTGATTTGCTGTAATAACTTTMGAGATAATCCTGCTGCTGGAGTAGCTCAGGGCCAGTATTTAACAAATATGAGGATGAGTAAATACACTTTTTGGCCAGTTTTAGTCCATATTAGCATCCTAAATTTAGAAATTCAAACATATCTGAGAGAAAATTTTGAAAATKCGGGAAATGGAAAAAGAGTCAACACAGAAGCACAAGAAGAAGAGTAGGGAGGATAAAACAAAGMTGAGAGCTCCAGACAAAAGCAACAGTGGGAAAACATATTTTCAGATAAAGAAATTAAGATATTAAGATAAAGTAACTGCAGGGCACACCATCAGACATCCCTCCAGCTCAGCTTAGGTCTTGATCCTCTAATCAGAGATAGATGGCAAAGAGGAGACTTTTATTTCTGAGACTTGTACTGTTTTGTCTTTTTAATTYCTAATACATTAAACGGCCTGTAATACAGAGATTTCTGTCAGGTAGCAGAACACCAGTGCATTTATGCAATTAAAAATGCAAAATAAAAGGTTTTTTATCAGTCTTCCCACAGTCAGGAAGTTCATACACTCACCAGGCTCCATCCACTGTCATTCACACGTCGTTGTATGGCAGGGAAGTGTTTTCTGTCTCAGCAGGTTATTGTTTAATGGGCTAATGCTTATGTGCAAGATGAAATGCTATTTCTGTGGGGAAGCATGTTACTTGTGGGGAAAAAAAGGCCACTTCCAAAAAAATAAAAATAAAAATAAAAGCCCTGCTTAGCCTCCTGGTGATAGAGAAGGCCAACTTCACCATGGATTTGAAGGGAGCTGCATCAGACCCTGGATACTTTAGCCCTATAAGCAAYAGTATGCAATAACTGCCAAGGAAAAATCATCTTGCTGCTTTATTTTTGTGTGATTTGTAAAACTGGAATATAATTTTGCCCTGAAAGAGTGACTAAAGCTTCTTTTAAAATTTTAATCCCAGTGCTATTTGCACATCTTCTAATTGAAATATCTTACTCTCACAATTAAAAATAAAGCACATGATACTGTGCAAATATGTTTTATTTCTGTAAATACTGCATCCCAAGAACGCTCTGTGACCTGGGGTTCTTTGTTGCTAGCTGGTGAATGAGCAGCAGGAGAGCAGACCCCTCCTGAGCCCCTCCATTGATGACTTTCTCTGTGAAACTAAGCCTGAAGCTGTTGCAAGGCCTGTAACATCGAATACAGCAGGTAAACTTTTTATTATTCCTCACTGGAGAAAAATAGTTTCAGTTTTAGCTTAATAACAGCACTTTTTTGTCAAGTGATTTCTTGGATTGTTTCTGTTTGCACAAAATCACGAGCTGGCATTAAATTACAGTTGCCTGACCTGTTAGTAGAAAAACTTTGTTAATTCCATTTTAAGGGAAATTTTATATGATTCAAAACACATCAATTCTAGCAGATCTTTTGAAATTAAGGCAATTTGTTGAAGTTTCACAGGATGCACATATGAGTTTGGATCAGTTCTCTGTATTCGGTTTTGCAAAATTTTAACCTATGTGAAAGCCACTTTTAGTCTAGTTTTAATCAAACCAAACAAGGATTATTTATTTTAATGAAAGCTAGAATGAAATATTAGAGAGAAAAAGGGGGGAGGTATCAAAACACTTTATCCAGGCTGAGTTTGGACACTTTATTAATGAAAGGATCTAATACATTTCTTACCTCCTTTGTGTTGCAATGAGATAGTCAAGAAGATAATAAGAAAGAGTGAATCCTGAAAGCCTTTTGAATTATACTGAATTCTATTTTAAGAACATTGTCCTTTGGAAGTAATTTTAGAAACTAGCCCCTTCCTACTCGGTATCTGTCCAAAGGTGATCAATGCYGTTGAGCAGATAATAAAATCAGCACAGCACTGCTATGTCTCTTGCTGTCTTATGAAAGGACTTGGCTTGTTAGAAGCCAATAAATTTAATCTTTTCAATTTTTTTATTTTTATAATTAAAATGTATATACATGGAATTTTTTTATGAATTATTGGCAGCTGAGTGGTTATCTTCACACCTAATTAATATGTGTCTAAAGCAGCATGCAAGTTCTAGTAATAAAAGCTGAAATACTGACTTAACAATTTAAAATAATATTTTTTCCTTAAAAAATATAGCTGAAGATATTACAGGGGTGAATAGAACTATTTCAGATTGTTTAAGAATGGTGTTTGTTGTGAAATGTACCTGCAAATTTTATACCTGCCTTGAATATCTATCAGTTTGGGGTGGGGGGGTGTTAATTGGATTTATTTAATAATAAAAATTTATTATATGAAGATTGATGAAATTCAGTGATTCCTAAGAACACAGATAAAGCACTGCAAGAGGTAATGCAAACTGATTTGTCAAAAACACCTGCCCTGTAATACGATAATAAAGAAGTTTTTCTACCTTTTACATGCTAAAGAATTACAAACATTACTCTTTAGGCAACTTTGAAAGGAAGAACTGAAATGGAACATTCCTTTCACACTGATACAGTCCTTAATAGAAAAGCTTTAGACTTTATACTCAGTATTTAYGCCCCAAAGGACAAGCTGCAACAACAGTAGAAACCATTACTAAGCATATGATCATTCTTTTATGACCCAGGTCATWGAGGGTCGCATGCTCCAGCTATTCCCAAAAGGATTGAGGCACAGCAGTAGTGCCCTAAGCAGCTGTTACCAGGACTTGATAAATCATAAGACTAAACCAAATCTTATCTAAAAGCTCAATTGTACAGGGAACCCTCATAACAGAGGCAAATCCGTAAAGGTCCCAGCCATAAGACCTCACATGTCTTTAAGATTTTTAGARGAAAAGCCTTTTTTGGCAATCCATTAAACTGCATTCAGTTAAGCACCTGAAATCCCCAGACATATTTTAATATACTGCTCAGTATATTTAGCCAGGAAATATACTCTAATTCTAGTCAAACGTAAACACATCAGTAATTTTTTTCCCCCAATTTAAACAAATCTTAAAAAGAGAGCTATTTGAATTAAAACAACATTGAATTTTAACATTTTGTCTCTAAGTATTATCAACAGGTCTGGATCTCTTGGATCTTAGTGAACCTGTCTTACAAACCCAAAACAAAGCAAAGAARCCAGAGAATCCTTCAAGAAGTGAAGGCTTAAAAGCTTCAACCCACAGAAAGAAGACAGAGAATCCTGACCTGATCAGTGTGGATTCTGAGCAKAAAGTCCAGGCTGTCAAAGTTGCAGACAAGTCTTCTCTAGATTTAGGTAAGAGTGTAGCTATTTTATCAGTGCTCCATAGCCTTGCTTAGCACAAGTTTCTCCTGGCTACTATCACAAAATAATGAGCAATGCCAGAATTTTTGCTGCACCACATTTCAGCAGCGTAACCTTTGCTCCCCGTTATCCCTATTATTCCTATTAAGTTGTCAMTAAGTGTCACTAATAAAGTTTTGAAAACTCTCTAGAAAAAGGAATTTAGTCAGGGTGTGTAAAATGGTAGAAAAATMTGTAGGGATATGATGAGAAACTGGTAAACGACACAAATGAGTGGCAGGCCAAACTGGTGTCCTTTTCAGAACTGCAGGTGTCAGAAATGCACATCATATTTGGAAATACTGCTTTATCTATTCATACCAGAGGATAAAAAAAAATCCATTCTTGACAAGAGAGATATATTTATACAGACTGGAAAAAAAATCCCAGAAACAACTCAATATCCTGCCAAGCCCGATCTATCAACAAGCTTTGGAAAAGGTGAATTTAATTTAGTTCCATCCAAACTAAATTACTTGCAGTGCAACTGAGAAATTTGCAAGGTAAATGTAATTTATACCAAGGCAGCAAATTTTCCATTCATCAGCACAGAAATTCTTTTAGAAACCTTTATCTTCAAACARGAGCTGAACATCTGATCTTTGCAAAGTGAGTCTGACATGTGACTGAATAATATCCGTTGCCTACATGGTCATTTTTACATGTTGGTCTCCAAAAGAAACTTTATTTTCACAATTTGACTAAATTACATGCAAATCACTGATTTTAAATCAAGAGTTACACTGACCATGAATGCTAACAGATTTAGAAAAAAGTGAATTTCCAAATATTTTCACAGCATATCAGCTGGAAAGATGCACAATATTTCTGTATATTGGATAGTCTTTGGTGGCTTTATTTTCTCTATAACATACGTTTAACAGAGGAGATAAAATTTTCAGCAGTGGTTTCTTTAAAAGATTCATTTCTTTCTGTTCTTTATTTTTCAGTTGATATTCAGACACAGATAGAGAAATGGGATGATGTCAGTTTTCATGGAGACAGGAGTAGCAAGGTCCACCCTTCTGCAGACAGAACATCATCATCATCCAGAGCTCCATCAAAAGAGATTTTATGGTACAACTTTTTGCTTTCCTTACAAAAATATTTCCAGCCTAGCTTTCTTAATTTACAGAAATGCTTACTTGTTAACAGATCATGTTATTAAAACTGTTATGATGTCATTAAATGTGTTCAAGCACATATTTTGGACAGTGCAACACTGAGAAAGGCCCAGGCATTTTTGCTAWGTGCAAGTTAAACAATCCAGTTGAAAGAAATATTCTAATTAATCAGTGTGTTCTTATCAACCTGTAAGACCTAAGGCAGCGTGTCCCAGTGCTGAGTATGTAAATGCATTATTTCYAGGTCCACAGAAAACAGATCACAGTCTGAGCTGACTAATGTCAAGAGTGCCTTGGACTCTGATTCAACATCAGAATTAGAACTTGCCCCTGCAAYACAGGTAAGAGGATTTGGTAGATGTATTAAAAATAAAAAGGCAAGGAGGAATTTCCCAATGGCTAACATGGACATTCTGGGAGAACTATTCAAGGGATACTTTCAGGATCATCAGGGAAAGTATTTGTACAGCTGAATCTGCACACACCTCTGAAATTAATATGTTATTAAATTAACTATGTCAGCACCTGAAACATTCAAAGTTTAATACTGCAGTGAACTGCCTGTACACAGGGAAAACTTCAAACTACAGTTTACAGCACMATCTTTTTCCCCTTCGTCCAGTTCTGAAATTCAGACTTCTGGTGGTTCCCCATCCATGTTAAATATCTATTCTTTAGGTCTCTTGGTCAGGTAGGAATCCCCAGGACTGGGAAATGGCTAAGGAAAGCAGGAAGCAATCATTGGACCRATGTTCATTAGCAGTTTATCTCCACAGGTGGGAGAGCAGTGTGGTCACAGGACTTTTTTCTGCTGGAAAAGGACCTCTAATACGGAGGGCTCTGGGCTAAAGGTTTGTAGATTTGCCCAATTCCACTGTTGTATTGTATATTGGACAGGTCTTGCTGGAAATTATTACTTAGATTTGCATGTCTGTGTGCATGTACAGGTACAAATATTTATGTATGCATTCTGATCAGGTTGYTCACAACTTCTTTGCTTACTTTTTAACTGAAATATTTCAGCCATTGCCACTGAAAGAGGGAAAAGAGAATTTCCTAGTGGATTAGCTTTTAGTTGAGAATAATTTTCTCCCCTTCCACAACTATTTTTAGGCCTTAACTTCAAAAACTTTCTGTCACATGGAAATTCTTTAAATTAATGGAAAAYAATAGCCTCATTTGAAAATGGAAAAATGAGACACTATGTGCCAAATGTMTTTCCTGAGATTATGCACCTCTTCTTTTGGCAGAAAGTAGAAATAGAACCCAGTTATCAGATCCATTTCTGGGTTTTTCTTAGGAAAAGAACCCTTTTACTTCTCTGCCTGTCTTGACATTWCAAACAGGAGGGGKTTTTTCCCCTCTGGAAAGTCTCACACTAGTTGTAATGCATGAYATCTTTCCTTTCTCTGAGATAGATTTGTACATCTTAGTAATGGAAAAGATCTGTTAGACAACGTCATCCACTTGAAATGGATGCTGTGTTCTCACATACTTTGTCCAGCTCCTATTGAAGCACCTCTGACCCCCTTTTAGGAAGCTGTTCCTCAGCCCAATAGATTTAAATTCCAGGACATTTGTGCTCAACCAAGATGTGTGTAAGTCAAGYAGACAGTGCCAGAATTTAAATGCTGTGCCTTTCTGTAAAAGCAATTACAAATTCAGTGTATSTCTATATGGTCTATTTCCTCTTTATCTTCCACTAGAATAACTGCAGAAGCAAAAGTCCACATTTTTCACTCAGTTTAAGTTCAGTCAGTTGAGGCTGCTCCATAAYGTTTTGTAAAATGACTGATATTTCAAAATAAGAAACCATGAACTTGAATAAGCCAACCTGAAAAAAAAAAAAAAAAGTGACAACTGAAATTCGTATCTGTTGTCTTGGTACATTTCATGTTTTGTTTTGATCTGTCATGACTTGCTTGTTTCAAACTTGTGATCCATTCGAGTACCAAAATGTTAAACTGGTAATTATTAGTGCAGAGAAATTATCTGAAGTGASAATGTGTTCTTATTCTAGGTAGGTTACTTGGAGATGTAGTGGTTTTGTTCACTGCCTGCTTCATCCTGCTTGTACTTGGACTGTCAAAGTTGTCAGCTCCCAACACACAGGCTCATCTGTCTTGACCGAGTTCTTAATCTGCTTGCAAAAGAAATCACATTAGGGTTKTTATCAAAGCATATGTTTTCCATCCTTTGTCCTCTATAGGTCTTGTCTATCTCATTTAAGGGCAACCTTTGCAAAAGCAACACATTCTGCCATACCCTAAAGATTTCATCTTGTCAAACTTGCTGCAGTTTTCCATCAGCAGTTTCCCAATCTCCTCATCACTCATCTTTGACATKTCAGATTTAGCTCCTCAAAGTGAAATGCTAAGTAACTAGGTCATATTTTCATTAAAATTATGCAATCTTCTTAACAAAATCCTGTGTTTACCAGCACTTATGCCAAAACAAAATCCAAAAGAAAAGCCTTGAGCCACTATGGGAGGAATGTGTTTGAAGGCTGTAATGAGGAGTGGTCACTGGTGGCTTCACTGGTTGTGGCCATTTCTGGATGGGGCTGGATGCCTTCCTTCTCAGCATTTACTCACATCATACTTTACCTGTTATTAAATCTGAAACTGCATTGGCCCAAAGTTACCTTGTTCTTACTTTTATCTGCCATTCTGAAAAGTTCCTTRTTATGCTTYTATTGGTACTGAAAKATCCTACAGTGTTTGGGGKKTTTTTTGRGGTTTATTTTAAATCTTGAAATTACGAACTGCAGAGGGCGATAATAGGTTTCATTGTCTATGTGTAAAGTCTGCTCATGTTTTAACACTTTAAATGCTTTTCTGGGAATTTCACATATTTCATTGCTCACACAGAATTTACAAAACCTCTGTGACATGCTAAGAATCTATACCTAATGCCAATATGTCAGCACTCCCAGACAAAGGTGCAGTGCAAACCTTAGAAATCTCCAGTCTGATGYAACAATATTTAGAATGTAAAACCGATTCCCCACTTCTCCCAAGTAAATACAGTAAGACCAATGGCCTTAACACTCCTCGGATGTGCCATTTACTCTAAGGAAGTGAAGAGGTACAAGGGACAGATTTAGCTCATTATTGGAAGACTTGATTAAAAGTTAAGACTGTAATTTAAGCCTCCCACCAACASTTAAGGACCAACAGCACATAAGGATAGCACAAGAGAAGGAAAGTGTGTGCAAATGCATTGGAATGGAAGGTTTTGTYCCAAAATACAGACACCATGATCAGCTCCAGCTCCTCCATTGTAGAGAGGTGAGAATATCAAACCACAGTGTCCAGTCTCCAACACACCATCCCACCCTGTCCCTCCTGGGCTCCCTCAGGGAAAGCAGCTGCAGGAATCCCTCTCCATCTCCTGCTGGAGATGTGGAGTTCTCCAGTGCTGCCACTCCATTCCCATCCTCTCTCCCCAGACACAAAAGGCAGTGAGTTTGTTACACATGGAGGTTTTCATTTCTGCGTGTCACAACCCACAACACAACTCTGCATTGTCAATATGCAAATACAGCTTATGTGGCYTCTGTTAATGAGTTTTCTTCCCCCTCCTGCTGTGCATTTAATGGGGGAGAAATATATTTCTGTGGGTATGATGTGGGGACAAAGTGTACACTCTGTCTTGTGGCAGAGGAGGGGACCTCTGTGCTTCTTGTCCTCTTCCTCCTCACCTTTGTGCTGCCCTCCAAGCTCACTCTGCCCTTCTGCAGTACAGCTCAGTCTGAACATCATCATTTACAGAATTGTCCTTGACCTGAGGAATGGCAGTCACTGGAAACAAATGGGCAAAAAGCAGAAGTAATCAAAGTGTTTGCAGGAGCCAACTCATAAATAATGGAAAGGCCAGGAACATAATTAGTGCCGATCAACAGAGTTGTGTGTCAAGAAAAACAAATTTAATTCTTTGATCAGATTACAGGTCAAGTTGATAAATGTTGATGTGTGATATTCTACAAGAGGTTTGAATTAATATGTCACATTCTGATTGTAGCTGTTAAACAGATTAAAACTGGCCAACCTAAGGTCTCAGGAGCAGTAGTTATTTACTAGGAATTGTAATCACATGGTTATTCTTCTGTGATTCCAAAGAGAAACAGTCTTCTGAGATTGATCTGAAAATAAACATGCAAGCTGTTCCTCAGAAAATTTCCATACGATGCAAGAATGGAATGAAAAAAGTTAAAATAAGGGATGTGTAAAAAGGTGCTGGTGATGAAGGCATCTGTATAAATATGCATTGCAATACAGTCACTTGGAAAATCACACATTTCAGAGCAAGAATGCAGCACAACTTACAACAATGTGCTGGAAGGGAGTCTGAAACAACAGGAGTGTTCYCTGTGCTGTGCTGGGGGAAGAGGAGTGTGTAGAAGCAAAAAGAATTAGTGGGAGACAGGAGATAACTGATTTCTATATAGAGAAGCTGCAAGACAGTGCTGGAATAAAAGGTTCACTTTATTGMAGCCTGTCTGTGTGGCTATGAAAAATTAAGCCGGAGATTAAAAGTGACACCAAAAAAAAGTTAAAATCTGAATATTTCATAAATTAATGATGCAAAGTTTTTACATCACTAAATGTCTTTATGTCACCAAAACCTGATTAAAATMATCAGTGTCTTTCTACAGATAAAATAAGGACTACTAAAAAGTGTTTTAAACTACGAAAAAAAAAGTGATAGTTGGAGACTAAAATTAAAATTAATAAGAGAAACAAGGAGGGGAGTTAAACAAATTGCAGATGAAGTGATGACATTAAGGTCTCTTGATAACTTTAAATTAAATCCAAGCAGCTTCCTCAAAGAYGCATATTCCAGACAACCTCAGTTTATTCTCTGAAGAAYATAATTTTSATTCTSTGGGTGTTGAATGACAAATACCATMATGTGATACATAGACAAATGATCTGAACCAGTTATCTCTTCTGTCCCAAATTCTATTAATCAGTCAAATAACTGTTTTATGAATAGGACTGCCTTTTGGTATGTTTTCAATGACAACCTGAAAACTCTTCCTGGCCTYACCAAAGGATAATAATATTTTCCAAACATGGAGCAGACTTAGAAGATGTGAAAGCAGAAACAGTAGATCCCCAGTGTAGACATTCCCTCACTCTCTGAGGTTGCTGTCACAGCMAAGTCCAGAGGCCAGCACAGAGGAACACACACAGGGCCCTCCACCACCACGTGCTTCTCCCAGAAATTGTGTTTTGTATTGTGGTTTTCTTACCTTATGTGTTTCATCCACTCAATGTACATGTCACTCATCGGTCTCTAACTGAGAGACAAAGCCTCAGGAGCAGAACAGAAACCTTAGGGYTCATTTGATAAATGAATGTCATCTTTCTAGGTGAAAAGCCATGTGTRYACAACCACCAACAAATGTGTTTGACCATACATTACATGTGACATATATGAAAGGTCAGAAATGTGTCAGATGTTCCATCCCAGCAGTGCCCATTCCAGCATTTGCAGAGTCCAATGAGTCTGATGTGAGCAAAATTAGTCTTTTAGCAGTGTGGCTCACAGAAATTGAATATTACAAGTACAGTGATCAGAARTATAATCAGGGAAATTAATGCAATTGGAAGCATGGGCACACAAGTGGCTAATGAGTTTAACCTCTTGATAAACACTAGGGAAGRGATTAGCAGTCAGAGCTTTGTTTAGCAAGATTAGGCCACTTCGTGCTTTTTCTGCTGTCTTCAAATATTGTTTGATTTTGTACAATGCTTTTTGTAAAAACAAAAAAAAAATAATAAAAGAACAGGGAAAAACTTATTATGTGCTTCCAGTGGGATTGGCCAATAGTAAAGTACAGAAGAGAGGTGCTCATTGTAAAAACAATTTGTCCTTGCAGTGAAATCCAGGGCAAACCTRGCTCTCCAATGTGATCCCAAAAGAAAACCTGAAAGAAAACCACAAAATGTGCTGGGGAAAAGAAAATATTTTCTTCCTGGATCATAGTCAATGTAATGCATTCCCACAGTCATAACGCAGAAGGAACAAGGAAGGTAGAAGTCCTATAAAATAGCCAGCTCCCTCCTCTTGGAGTCCAACTCTTGCATTGCCTTTTCTTGGATGTCTCTTTATCTTTCACACATCTTGAGTGAAAAGAAAAATCTGGAAAAGATAAATTACTCTGCTTCCCATGAGAAGTGGTGTCTGCTACAGCGTAAGCGAATTCAGAAGAACTCATGCAGGGAAACAAGAAGTTTTCCCCAAGAAAAAGGCCACCTGGGGCTGTAGGCGATTAAGTAAATAACTCAGAAATGTGGCAGAGAGTCTATCATCCCTTTCTGATTTATTTTCTTGTTTTTAGGCACGGTCAAGTAAGGAGCAGCGTTGGGGAACACCTCTTCTCTCTAGAAATCACTCCTTGGAGGAGGAATTTGAAAGAGCAAAGGCAGCTGTAGAGGTATTATTTCATTTACTGTTTTCATTTTCAGCTCATGTTCTACAGATTTCTTATTTCTCTTGCAGCACAAGCATATGAGAAAGTTGGAAGTGGATTATTTAAAGCAGAGAAAAGACACAATTCATGGCATTATTAATTTAAAATAGCATMTTGTCTTTTWWAAAAAAAGAAATCCAAAACCCTTAGCTATAAACAAAGATTAGACAGAGCCAAGTCTTTAAACTCGATTTTTATTGCTAAAGCAAATGGGTAAATACCCCATAAATGTGGCTAATTCCAAACCACAAGTAAAAGAGGGAAACATTTTTCCGCAGCAATTGTGTGCAATCAGTTCTTTCAGCCCAGACACAMACCAAGTCTTTGCTGTGAAACCAGAGTTCAGAATCACTGATGAACAGCACAATTACCTGGTGTAAAGCACAGCTGCACATAAGCACTCACCAAGCACCATTTTCACATTTTTACCACCAGTGGCAGGATGTTAAGCACGGGAGTATTCTTGTTTCCTGACAAATCAATTTGGTTTGATCAGGTAAAGGTGTCTGGATAGTTCTCCTGTTGCACTTCTGAGGTTTTTTTTCATTTCCAACATCTCAAATATCTCTCGTGTGTTGTCCTGTACCCATAGTCCAAACTGATCCCATCTGAACACAAAATACAATACAGTTTTTTTTAGCAGAGCTCAACAAAAGATTAGATATAAACATTGATCTGGAGCATCATTATCTTCTCAGGGGCTCCATGGGCAATCCTTCAAAATCCCATTGCCACAAAGCGCCAAAACAGCTCCACTCTAGCAAGGACAGAATTTCAGGCTAAATTATATAACAGCCACTGAAATGAGTTCTTAGGGTGCAGAGGATGAAGCTGTGAAACCAGTTCCTCAAAACTGGTTATTTTTAGCATGGACTGCAGGCTCATTAGTCTCCAAACCATCTAGAACACTTTAGGGATATCTGAGTCTAGATTTAAATTTTAGTCATGTATTTTAGTATTCCTCTAACTCAAGTTTTATACCATTCTAATTCCAGTGTTGACAATTTAACTATTTTAGATTAATACTGGCTGATGACAAACAAAACTATGCCTAAATCAGATGACTTCTAGGTAGAAACAGAATTTCTTGTTTAAGTAATTAATCTGATTTGTAGATTTTTTTTAAAATTATATGCTGTGTTAAGATGCAGGTTTTCTACCATGATTTCTTGGGATTTTATTGCACACTCAAAAAGATCTTGCCTCAGCACACAAGGCTAAAAYGGACGCAATCAGTAAATTAGCTCTTTCATAAACTAAGCCCTGAAGGTTTTTTTCTTTCCAGATCAAATAAATTCTTCATCAACAGCTGCTGGTGAGGCACAAGTGATGTTTTTGATGTCACACATCATACACATTTGCTCCTGGCAGGAAAGGAGGGACTTWCTTTCAAATTACTGCTGTTTAAAGTGCTTTAGATGTTCCTAATTGCGCTGCAGGCTGATCCTGAAGGTGGAACGAGCTGTGCTGTGACCTGGGATGGCAGCACAGGGAATCTGATCCTGAACATCTCAGCATCAGTGGTTAAACACTCCTGCAATTGCCAGAAACTTGTGTGTGATGGGGAGTTCCCAGACACTCAGCAGAAAGAAAAATGAGTTGAGTCCATCAACAGATTACAAGATGGTATTGAATTAATTTGCAGAGAAAAGTAAGGAGGATAATATATTATAAAAAAAAACAGACTAAAAGGTCATTCTGAGGCAACAGGGACAGGTGGTTAAAATACTTTAAAGTAGTCTCAAAAAKGGCTGTTAAAAAGAACCTAATTTAATGTTTCCCCAGCTGTAGCTGGCAGCCTTAAGTTATTCTTTCTGCTTAAAATAGAACCTTGGGCCAGGTAGTTAAAATGTAAAGGAAAGGRTTCTTCAAGATCTTATAGAGCAGTTATTCCCATTTGCATATGAAAAGAGCTGAATTTTCATCCTAGCTAACATGAAGTGGTAAGAAGGCTGGAATGATTGAAATAAATTGGAGCCCATCTCAGAAAGATTAGTGCTTTTTTAAGCAGAGAATAGATACAGTTCAAAAATTCATTTTTTAGGCTTTGGATGTTTCTGTAATATTCTTCTATTGGGAAAGCTCCAAGTGGTTAAGATTAGCCAGAAAACTGATCAGGAAAAGGAAGTAAATCTCAGGTTCTTTGTGGCCTAGTTTGAAAKAAATTAATTAACAATTCAGTAAATGAAGACACCAAACTTTATCCTCCATCCAGTATTCACTTTAGAGCTTTGGGAATGGTTTTAAGATGTCAAACTTTGAGATTAATGAAGATTTGTGAGGTAATTCTTTCTTAAGGAGGTTTAAAGATGTCTGTGCCATTGGGRAATCTTTTAAGAATAAAGTGGTAAGTAAAATAGCTGTTTTACTAGAGAGGGTCCAGATTCCCTTGCAGTGTTTGGGTGCTTGCAGACCTCGCTACCTTTTCTGTTATTCTGGAAATTGGATTTGATTTTTGCCTCATTACTTTTTGTCTCAATAATTTCCAAGTGCCATAAGAACTATGTTTTAACACAATCTTTCTAATAATTAKCTCTGTTTCACCAAAAATTGGTGTGTTTAGGTTTTTTTTTAAATGCCAGGGTGGGGGCTCAGATCCATCCTGTACCTATATTCCATTAAAATGATTGTTTTATCAACCACCACCCTATTGGCAATGAATTAAAATAAATACAAATAAAAGCAAGAAGGTGAAAAAACTTCCAGCTGCRAAGTGTCTCAGAGATGGAAATAAAGCTGGTTTGGTATTTTCTTATTCCACATTTCCCTGCTGAAATTGCAAATGCCACACTGTTTTGTGAGGTTATGCATRAGAAATTTTGAGCTGTCCTTCTCAGCATAATTTTATTTACAACACAAAGTCACATGAACCATCTGCTATATAATGTACTGTTATGAARCATCAGAGCACATTACAGCTAAATTATGTGACAATAGCAGGGAAAAGATGGGATTAATTTATTCTAGCCTAGGAAAACCAACTCCAGGACCATCAGCTTCGTGGTTCCCATGAGTACAGATTGGAGTCCTTTCTTTACCTATAAAAGTCCTGTCTCACCATTTGGACATTTCTTTGTATGGACATAAGACTGGCTATTTTAACTTGGGAACCAGGAACTTGAGTCATTCAGATGCACTTTATTTTATACTCTTTCAAATCACAGTGGAAATATTTGCCTTGATGTATACTTTTTACCTCTAAACTTTCCTAAAATTTTCAGATTCTGTTCTGTGAAGGTATCAGCTGAGGAAATCTTACCTAATTAAGCACACAAGTTTAACTTACTGTGTCTTTCACATCAAAGAGTATGGTAATGCAGTAATTCAAAGAACCATGACAGAACATTTCATTCTTATGCATTGGTCAAAAAGGAATATTGCAAATTAATTCTTGGCAATACAGGACAGGCAAAATTCTAAAAGTTACGACAATAGGTAAATTTATAAATACATCTCCTACCCCCRTTCATTGGATCATAGGAAATACAGAACCTGGAAATATTTTGCCTCRCATTTTTTTAACTGCTTCAGCATATTTTTAAATACTAAGAGTAAAAAATAGCCTCTTTGACAAAATGCAGAATTTATTGCATGGAAGCAGTCAGATGGTATGGACATTTTCCCTGGTTGGCATTCCACTTAACTGCTGTAGATGATCTGAGAATGTGTTAAATGCATTCAACTGGTCTGAAAACTTTTGGTACATCCTAAATACTTCACCAGCCTTAAGGTAGCAAAAAACCATTGAAATTAGGTTAATTAGCACCAGTGGTGTAGCAAATAGAGTTAAAATTAGATCTGGGARCCTTGATCCAAAGCCACATTTTCAGAAAGGCTCAATATTAATTTAACCCTCCTGCCACTGAAGTCAATGAAAAAATTGCTGCTAATGGCAGCTGATGTGGACTTAGGCCTTCAGCAAAGACTGGGTAATATTTACAATCCTCTTCCTCAAGGACATTAAACTGCTCTGCTTTTGTCAGYCTGGCCTAAATAAGCAAATCTTTTSCTATCATTGCACAATAACAGTTGATCTTGTGTCCAAATAGTGTAGGGTGAGTTGAGAGGCAAGCTGGTCTTCTCATTGCCTTTCCCCTCCTCCTGTTACTCACTCTAGATGCACATTCAGTGTGGCTACTTGAGTGCACAGTGATTCACTGGTTTTTTTACATGGTGTGTAAACACAGTGAACTTCTGYGTGAATTATAAATATGCAATTAAACAACAGAATTTGAATTTAAGACCTAAACCCATTTRTTTGCTTGCTTACTATCTGCAGAAATATGATTTGATGCTTCCATACCATTGRTTCCTAAGGATCTTGTGGGGAAAGATGCAAGCAAAAATTCTAATACAAACATAATTCATATGTGTATAATTATTTCTATAAATTACTCGGCTAAAAAGGATTACTTTTCAGTAGTTTTATTYGTTTTAATCTGAAGGGAAGGGAAATTTACACTTTTTTACCTCATGCTGAATCTCAAAATTACTGCTAGTGAAAACGATCACATAATTTTCATTTCAGTTCAGCACAGACTTGAGCTGAATGAGAAATGGTTGATGGAGGCATCTGTTGAGCAGGATCTTTTTAGGGATTCAAATGCCTTTGGTCATGGCTGATAAGAGTTAAAGACGGAGTGATCTGRTTCATTATCCCAGCCTTTTCAAACCCTAAATGAACATTTCACAACTATATATAAGAATGTATTTTCTTCAAGTCTGGAACGAAAGCAGATTCTGAAGTTGTGTAACTGGTCAAGGGMTGTTCCCTTCYATTACCTGGAGTGAAATCTGCTCTSCAAGTCTGARTGATTCCCAATTTATTYCCTTTTTCACAGAGGAATATAGCAAGTATCTKCACAGATCCAATAACTGCAGAATTCAGACAATCCTGAATCCCCTGGAAGAAAGCATGCTTTCCTTTTTCCAATCACCTAAGGAGGGTTGCAACAATTATGCCTGGCTGTGGAGCAGTAGCAAAGTTGTCAGCCTTGTAATGAAGATTCACACAAAGCTATCTGGACCTGTTCATAAAACCTTCAATTAATTTTGATTAGCTCCTCGCTCTGAAATTGTTCTGTCAAGACCTCGATAGATTCATTTGTGCTGTTGTCTTTGACACAAATAAGCTGAGAAACTGCCCCCAGTGCCATCAGCTCACTGAAACACTGGCCATGTCCTTGTAGGAACTGGAGAATTTTGGAAAAGCTTGTAGTGCTCTGGAAATATTCTGCTATGGATCTCCTTTTCAGAGTCCCATGACTAGTGTGTGGAGGCTGAAAAAGTAGCACCTTAATCTGGATTCTTTAATTCTATTTCTATTTCTTGGCATCATTTTCTAGCAGCCACAGTTGTTCCCTCCTTCTGGTCATTGCTAATCTCATTCCTCATCCTAAATCTCATCTGTTTTTCATAATTTCTGTTTCCCTTGTATGTGCATTTYCCCCTCATCTTCGAGCTGAATATCAATCTTACTGTATGATTTCATAATMTCTTGTAGATTCCTCTCACCAGCAGAGTATACAATGCATTATTAACATTTCTCCATTATGTCAAAAAGCCCAATTTGTATTATGTCCCTTATGCAAACACCTTCTGTCTAAACTTTGGCATTTCTCTTTCTCTTAGCTGAAAATGATGCTGAATATACCAAAGTGAGCAATGCTTGCTCTCTTTCAAACTATTTTATCTATTGTTATTCTTTTGCATGTGCACTTTGTTGATTTTTCTTTTTTAATCTTTCTTTTCTTTGTCCAAGGACTTGCAGCATTAATTTCCTTCAAATTTTATGTAACAATTTGCTGTTAGCATCAATAAGATGCAGTGTAAGCTGCTGCAAATCCTGCTTCAAACAGGACATACGCTGCCTCTGAGATAAAGAATTTTCTGTTGACAAAATACATTCTGATATAAGAGATGAAATTTAATTACATGGAATTCCAAACAGYAGCTGTAATATTTCAGTCTGTGTGATTATTAATAGAATTAATGCTGCTCAGCAAAATTGACAGACTCAGACCACTGGTAGAAAGAAATTTCAAAGTTTTTTTTAAAATAAATCCCTTTATTTTAAAGTTTTGTTGTTCATTTTATCTTTTCCTCCTTTTCTTCTAGTCCGACACAGAGTTTTGGGATAAAATGCAAGCAGAATGGGAAGAAATGGCTCGCAGAAACTGGATTTCAGAGAACCAGGAAGCACCGGGGCAAGTCACCATCTCAACCATTGAGAAGGTAACMCCAAGTTTTTCAGGACATCCCCCCCTGTGCAAGTTTGAGGTGACCTTGACTTATCCAGGGAACCCAAAGAGACTCTTTGGACATGGAAACTGATTTTATCCARAAGAGCTCATCCTCTTGAATTGCCTGGGAGTAGGGCAGAGTTAGACCTTACCACAGTGAGAATAGATTTAGAGAATTTACACCTGCACACTGCCTGATTTCAGCTGAAAGGATCACAAAGCAAACTGCAGGGTTTTGGGCATGTTTGAASACAGGAACTTAAGGAAGAGCACCAAATAAGAATATCTGGTGTGGCACATTCAAACACTGCTGAGAATAAAAATAATGGAGATTTTGTCTTTCTTCTTCATTCTTCCCACTCCATATTTTAATATGATTTCTGTCATGCAGCTGATACCAGCACACACCCTTTACACTGCAATGACAAGAGGAAAAGGCAAAACTTAAAGAAATAAATTCAGGTGCTTGCAACCCTGTTTTGTATCTGGAAGGTTAATTGCAGATTTCAGGATTTTAACCATGAAGTTAGGAGCACTGCAGGGAGTCAACTGCTTGGTGTGTGCTTTTACCATCAAATTGGATGTCCTGGGCTCAGAGGTTCAGTTCTCTTGGTACTGCAGGCATGTGAGTTGTTGACATTATCTTTGATGGAGAGCCCAGCATAAATACCAGTAAGTATTCCTTCAGTGTTAAAGGAAAAGTAAAGAGAGCAGAAACATAAATGTCCAGTGATGCGACTTTTTAMACTTTTTGTCATTGAAATTCCACGGGGGAGCTCGTACCATTTCCACAGAACAAAGGCTGTTTACACCCAGCTGGAAAACAGTGAGTCATTGCAGTTTTTAGGCTTGTCATTCCCTGCAACTTGTGGTCCATTATCTCTCTCCTCCAGGGTTATTATTTCCATACTGAGAATCCCTTCAAAGACTGGCCTGGTGCTTTTGAGGAAGGACTGAAAAAAATGAAAGAAGGTGACCTGCCCGTTACAATCTTATACCTGGAGGCTGCAATCCTACAAGAGCCCAATGATGCAGAGGTATTCRCTGCTGTGCCTTGTCCTGACAAAGGAAAAGGGAAATCCCTTYAGCATGGAATGATGGAATGCTGTCTAGGCTCAAACCTTTGCTAGTCATGACTGGCTGAAACATTGGATTCTAAGGATTATGAATCAGTGAATGCCTTTAAATAGATAACAGTGAGCTCTTTATAGGATAAAAATCTGTTTTTTTTAAAAACTGTTGTTTGAAATTTCAAACCTTTCCTTCACATTCTGATGTTTTCAAGCTATCTTGTAAACACTGCTATTGAAAATATGAATATTTTTGATTTAACAAGAGTGTTGAAAATTTTTTAAAGTTATATCAATTTGCTTCAAGGTTGTGTTTTCAATGAGTTTATATTTAAAGTCTATTTTTTGGTGAAATATTAAAAATATTTATACTGTAAGTATCTAGGGCCCTTTGAATGTGCTGCATTAAATGAAACAGCATATTTCAAAAAGAAGAGAATCCCCAAGACTTCTAGAATCCCTTAATATGTATAATATGCAACTTAATAATTCTTCTTTTCTATCTTCCATAAAATTATAGCAAAATTTAGAATGTATAACTCAAATTTAAGAAACCAGCATGTGATGGATCATACACTGACAGAATACCCATGCATTCATTGGCTGTATCTATTTGTTAGGCCCAAAGATATTCAGAACTGCATTGAATGTTGGTGTGCATGGTAGAAAAATCTATGGTTAGTGCTGGACAGATCTGCTGGTTTTGTTCATCATTCTATTTAACAGCAATATTAGTTTTAACTCTGTTTGCAGCTGGATATATTTAACAAACCAAATGATGATTATTTTTGCAGGCTTGGCAGTTCCTGGGTATAACACAGGCAGAAAATGAAAATGAGCAGGCAGCCATTGTGGCCCTCCAAAGGTAGCTGGAGACCAGTGCTAAATCTGGGGTCTCATGAGGGTTGGGTAATGGAGACCTGGGGACATTTAATGTCATTCTTATCTTGGATCCTGATATATCTATTTAGTTGAGTAGAGCATTGATGTAGATATAGAAACTTTTCCAGTGACTTCAGAGGGATGACTAGTGATTAATATTTCTGTTTTATTGAATAAGTGCAATATTTAATGTCGTAATTTAAGTGCATGCACAAAAGAAAAGTTACATGGCCTAATGAATATGAGTTAGGCAGAATGCAAATGAAGTGCCTTTTTTATATTCTAGCCACTTGGCATATTTTCTGTAGTCTGCCCTTTAATGAAGAGGTTTTCTTAATTGGAGTGAGCTCCCTTCAACTGCTGAATGCTAAACTGCCAACATTTTTAGGTTGATAGAGATGTGAAGATTACAGAGTCCTTGTACATAAAATGTGAGCTTCAAAATATCAAGATTATTATTATCTTTCTGCAATAGGTTTTTATGTTTCTATTTGAAGCAATATTCAATTGTATCAGTACTGTTAACCATGAAGTTATTTCACTATGGATGCACAAACTTATYTAAATGTCACTTATTAGCTCACCTGGATAGAAATCCAAGGGGTTGCCTGATTTAGGGGCTTGCTCGTCCCCAATTTTCAAACAAGCAACAGTGGTAATTGTGATTTTCCTCACATGGGTTATTTTGGGAGAATTCAAACATTGTGCTTGGCAACAGAAGTATCTCAATATATTTTTTATTTTYTGCCTAGGTGCTTGGAACTGCAGCCAAACAACCTAAAAGCTCTGATGGCCTTGGCCGTGAGTTACACCAACACTGGCCATCAACAGGAAGCCTATCAAGCTCTGAGAAACTGGATAAAGCAAAATCCAAAATACAAGTATATAGTGAGAAGCAAAAAAGGGTCCCCAGCRCTTACCAGGAGGATGTCTAAGACAGCAGATGAAAGGTAAAGCAGTGGAAATCCCCATGATGGAGATTTTAATGATTTCCCTGGAAACAGTGGTGCCTGCTGTGCCACCTTGCTCTCTAGAAGTCCAGCCTATTCCCTGTGATAGAAGAATGTATCTCTAGTGGCAGGAGAGGGAAGCCAACAGAGAACATTTGGTTTAAAGACTTCAGGCTTTATCCTTTATGCCATCCCTGCCTCCACATCCATACCAGGCCTCTGTCCAGCTCCACAATGTGGTTGTTCTTCCCAGTGTTCACCGTTTTTTCCCAAATCCCAGCCCAGCCACTGGAATCCAGGATGAGCCATTTTGCAGTGCAGCATGGCCYCAGTTCACTGAGAATACTGAGAGGTGGCATCTGCTCATTTAAAAGCTGTTCTGGTTCTCACAAAGAGACAGCACAGCCATTTGATTTGTCTTCAGCCATTTTAAATAACAAAAAAAATCCATGAGTTGGCAGCTCTGCATCACGATTTCATGAGGTCAGTAAACAAGTACCCCTGGGCTGTGAGATGCATAATAAAGTCATTAAAGGCATAAACATGGTTTACAGAACTGAACCACTCRGGCTATCTCACTGCTTGTCATTTTGAAGACAGGCCTTATGTTTCACCCTTCTCACTTACAAGTCCTGGGTTGACAAGATAATTTTGTGTGAGCAAAAATAAAATATGCAAGTTCTGCTTAATTGCTAAGTGTGTTTTTTGTCTTTGGCTTCATCCCACTGTCATCTGGTGCTGTCAGTGCAAAGGTTTTAAGAAGCTACAATGGGCACAGAAGTCTTATATTTTGGCATCTTCAAGGTCCTTGGCTGGTCACTTACCTATAACTCTTAAGAATAATGCTATTTTTGCCAGTAAAGAGCTCTTTTATGTTCGAAAAACTCATCTGATTTGATTTAGTTTTAATAAACCTTCATGTCATCCCAATTGGGTTCCCCGCTGTACTTTGACTTCATTTTGTAGATGAACTTCTTTATTTCAGATGTGAGTTTACTACAGCATCTTGAAGTAAACCTTTGCCATGATGAAGAAGCTTATTCACAAATTTTGGGAATATAATACTTCTGATAAATCCRCTACAAAGATCTGAATTTCCAGCTATGCAATCAATACTGAAATATTTGTAAATAACTGTATGATGCATCTTTAAATTATTTTTCATTCTTGTCTAGCTCATTACTTGAAGAAGTAAAGGATTTGTACCTGGAGGCTGCTCACCAGAATGGTGATATGATAGACCCTGACCTGCAGACAGGACTTGGGGTTCTTTTCCACCTGAATGGAGAATTCAACAGAGCAATAGATGCATTCAGTGCTGCTTTGACTGTTCGACCWGAGGTACATTTTATACTTTTACATTTTAAGAAATTTAGCTTTACAGGCCATTTCTTTTCTCCTGTCTGGGCCAAGCTATTATTAATGAGGTGTCACTTCTGCCATTAATTTTTTAGACTTGAAATAGAAATGTTAATTAYAAGGCAGCCCTGTTCAGAAGCAGATTTGTACACGTACAATTCCTACCTGTGTGCTGATTAATGGTATTAGATATATAAAGTTGCCTGTGATCACGAATCAGAACTCCACATTCTTTATCAATTAGGATACAACGCTACTATTTTCTGCAGTCCTCCTTACTTTGCAAGCAAAAATGAAAAATTATGTCCATTTTTGACACCTACAGTAGAAAACTCATTTTCTCACCAGGATTATACGTTATGGAACCGCCTTGGAGCAACCTTGGCAAACGGGGATCGCAGTGAAGAAGCTGTGGAGGCCTACACACGAGCTTTGGAAATACAACCTGGCTTCATCAGGTCCAGATACAACTTGGGGATAAGCTGCATCAACCTAGGGGCATACAGGTGAGTTTAAAAAAATGTATAAACAAAAAGTCAGGGATCACAACTAGCAGGTGAAGATGGATTTTCAAGCTGGAGGTATCTAAGAAAATCAGAATAAAGGTACATAATCTGAGCTACTGTAAAATGTTGTCATAATTTTTTATAAAGGACTAAAAAGCAATTTTTTAGCTTGAATTGCAAATACTCATATAATCAGTAGGATTATATAAACACATAAACTTAGTCTGGTGCTTTAGAGCTTTGGGAAAATAAAATATAAGAGCCTGTCTTTAAAAGGGAAACTTCAGTTAAAGTGCTCCTAGTGGCTCATGCCATCAAAAACATCCTTCAGCAATGAAGGCTGATATTCCAGGGTCCCAGATGTCAGATTAAGACATCAGGGAAGAAAGATGATGGGACAGTGTCCCCAAATGTTTGAGTAGACTCAGTTTTGCATTACCGCAAGCCGTGCCCTCTTGCTTAATGAAAATCAAACAAGAACAACACAAAGAGAGTGATGAACTGCATTGTGAAATGATGCACTTGAGTCTGGCATGTAACTTTATAAGGTTTTCCTGTAGTTCTTTAGCAAATTGTATTGCTTGTTTCTTTTTTCTTCTTCTTCCCTACAGAGAGGCTGTCAGCAATTTCCTCACTGCTCTGAGTTTGCAAAGRAAAAGCAGGAATCAACAGCAGGTTCCCCACCCTGCACTATCAGGCAATATTTGGGCAGCGCTTCGGATTGCTCTGTCTATGATGGACCAGCCAGAACTATTTCAAGCTGCCAACGTGGGTGATCTAGACATTCTCTTAAGAGCTTTTAATCTAGAGCCGTAATAAAAAGGATTCAAAAATTGATTAAATTGTATTAGGAAACAGAGAACTTTTTTTATTACTCATCCCCAAATGACCACATTTTCCAAAAGATCATGACTGTAGATCAGTAGGGGAGTTCTTTCAGACATTATTCATAAAGGRAAAGTTCAAAAGCACAAAAATAGTGTAAATAAATTCAAACTCAAAGGATTGAAAATGAGCTGTGGCTAATCTGACAAAGCCCTGAACTAGATGAAATAGCAATTTCTGAAGAATCTTCATCCCATGCAAGCTATATCTCTATATACACACAGYTGTAAAAGGAAAAGTATCTTAAGAAGAAACCTAGAAAATGGTGATTGCACATTAGGATGGCAAGCAGTGCATCCAAGGAACCTGCTTATTAGCTCATTGCACTATGCTGACACCACTTTGCCCCACAGTGGGGATTCCCTACCCTTTGGTTTCTTTGATGAAAAATCTTCTCAAGGTCCATTTTTAACACAGCTCTGAAAATAGATGCATGTAAAAAGGGTGTGTTTTGTTTTGAATATATTTAATAGCCAGCAATCAATTTTTGGGCCCATCCATGTGCAATGTCAAGRGGAGCATTGCCCATGGAGGGCTGTGGGATGAGTCCAGGTACATTTGGGAAGCCAAGTGTTGCCAGCAGAAGGGACAATTTGCACTGGAAYTGTTACTGTCCAAAGCAGCTGTCCTTGATCTGGGACAGCCTAAAGGAGCTCATGGCAGGGTCTGCACCTTTCTGTGTACTTATGCACTTTAATCTYTGTTTTTGTAAAATAGTGCTATGCTTCTATTTTAGTTACCAGCAAYGGAATGTACGGGATGGCCTTGTTGRCAGGGAGGACCAATATMATTTCCTGAATTGCAGCAAGAGGGTTTTCAATATTCTTAAGTTTAAAAATGCAAATGCAGTATAAATTGCATTAACAAGTAGAAAGATAATTATATGCATCCATCAGGTACTACACATGTACATGCATGTGCATGCACATACATGTTGTATGCAAATGATGTCATGTCAGAACATGGTAAGCTACAGATCTTCATTGCAAATGAAGAAAAATCTTCATAGGTGTTACCTGCCTGCAGACCATGCTCAAGGGAAAACTTTCCCTAAAGAAATTGGTCTAKATAATGCTTGTAGGATTGAGACCAAGGCTTGGTCCTGCTGTTGTGGCAAACAGCAGCAAAAGTCTCTGTGACCTCCATGATASCAGAGTCAATCCTTAGACAACACCAGTATGTGTAGCTACTCACAAATGTGTCTGTAAACACACCATCTTCATTCTCCCTGGCTGGGTGAATGGGGAGCAGTGTGGGGCAGTGCCAATCCATGATGAATGGATTGATTCAGCYACAATCAAACACATTTAGCTCAGGGTGAATGCGTCAATCAAAGAACCAAGAGAAATTTTTAGAAGGTGATTTTCAGTTGTTGATATTTTAAATATTTTTCTTGAATAAGGGAAGATAAAAAATGTAATTAGATGTGTTGATCTGTGGTCAGGAATTCAATGTGCRGAGTACCTACTGGCATGTGTTAAAGTGGGACAAATAGCACATTTCCTATAAACAACATTAAAAGAAAAATCCAGCTCAGAGGGATAAAAAAAGAAATCCAACTGCACAGATCACAGAGAAAGATGCTCTGTGGGAGTTGGACAGTTCCACCAGTACAAACCTAAAGTTTCTTGCAGCTGTCTGTTATTTTGAGCCACCACTTAAAGGAAAATTCCATGTAAGACAGTGTAATCACTGCATCTAATCACATCTATAGGTTGTTAAATAAAAATAATTGATTGTCATTAGAAAAACAAAAGGCTTACCCTTCAGTCTCTCCTACAGAATAGAGATGCTGAAACAGTTATAGAATTTTTTTAAGAATGTTTTATCAATTCATTGTTTACCCATATATCCCTGTTTATCTATTGAGTGTTTCATAACTGATTGCTGCAGCTTTGTCTAAGGATGGGGCTGCCTGGGAATGTCACTTTAGCTAAGTGGGCTGCTGTATGCATATCTGCTGACAACAGTTTGCTCTTTTGCTTTGACAGCGATGTGTGATGACAGCTCTTTATTGATAAGGCAGAGCAGAAGGTGCAGTGCAATTGAATCTGGGAAGTGATAAGAGAGAARGGAGGCAGCTTTGAGAAGAGGCTGTAAAGCAAAGGCATATGTGCTTAGATTTTGCTTGATGCCCTGCCATCACACAAGTTTTTCTAGAATATCCTTTGTGCTGTGGTGTGGGATAATCAGTGCTTACCCAGAGGAMTTAGTTGTYCAGGGACTTTATTTTTATTTAAAAAAATAAATTTTTAAAAAAAAAAAGTACTCGACCTCAGAGTCAGAATGAGAAGGGGTATTTGATGCTCGTGGCAGTTCACTAAACATCTTCTCCAGCCTGTGGATGAGTAACACAGAAATCGTTAGGAAAACCTAATGCAACTCCAAGCCTCTCAAAAAAACCCAGACTRAGTAGGTAGCTTTTGATTTATCCTGGGATGCACTGCTCAAAACTACATTTATCTGCTGATAAATGTCCACACCCATGAGTTGTGTGTGTAACCTTGAGACAACTCCCCAGGGCTGAACTCTGCCTTCCCAGGGAGGCTCAGCCCCAGCCCATCTCAGCTCTCTGCACAGGATTTGGGCTACAAAGCCTGACCAAAAGGTGCACACCCTGAAGATTATCCCACTGCTCTCTCCTGTTGTGGATTGCCTGTGGCCACTGCCCAAAGCACGGGGAAAGGCTGAAGCAGGGCACACTGATGAAACAGTGGCACATCTCACACAAATGGCCTGGTCAGTGTGGGACAGAGGCTGGACACTCATTTTACTCTTAACAGGTTAGGCCCAGCAGATCTTAGGACTTCTGGGCATTTCCTTAGGAGTCTGAGCTGTATCATCCTCCTTTAGCCCCCTCTGCCAAGCACTGTCAGTGCAGCAGACAGGATTAGATACAGCTTTGAGCTGACCTCCTCCTGCCGTTCCTTAAATATTCAGGGCAAGTTTGTATATTTGCCTGCAACAGCAAGAGGAAACATGTGAGGAGGCTGCAGCATATTAACAACTGAACAGAAAATTCATCTACTTGTGCTTCTTAAGCAAGCAGGAGGTGGGATAAATGAGGCGGGTGCTGAACAGGAGCAGATTGAGCCTGAGAGTGAGAGACAGCAAATCTGGGTCCTGTTCTCAGCATTCCAGGGAGCTCGACCAAGTCAAAGGCTCYTGCCATCCCTGACTGCCCAGGTGTGTGAGGAAGAAAGATGGGAACAGCATTCCTTCCCCAGCCTGGAGCAGGGAGTGTCACTGTCACAGTGCAGGGACCAGCCAGCACTCACCTGGAGAGGAAGGGGACACAAACACAAACTTCCTCGGCTCTAGGGAAGCAGCTTCACACACAGATGACCAATCTCAGCAGAGGACAGACAGCATTTCAGGATGCTGGACAGCATCCATGAGCTGAGGCCCAGTCAGAGTGCTGCAATGGTGTATCACCATGCCCCACCCCTCTTTCCCTTTCCTGTTATTCCTCTCTTTTTCCAGAGGCAATTTATCACTGCCAGGTAACTGATTCCAACTTTTTGAATATTTTTTTTTTCTATTTTATATTTCATGCAATTAAAAAATGTTTTCCTAACTCCATCTTGGGACTGTTTATGACCTAGAAGCCTGATCCATCAAGCTGCTGAACTCTGTAAGCCAGGAGTCTCCCCAAGAGCGCTCAGCACTTTGCATGATCAGCTCCATGCAGGTATTACCAGGAGAGGGTGGCTCTGGWACCACTGCATGAGCTGAACAGACACTGGAATCACAGTTTAGGGAGTGAGGCTTTGCAATGAAGGCAAAAGGCTCATTTCTGGCTGGCCTCTTTAAACCAGAATGACCACAGGAGCCTTGTGGCCACAGACTGGCTTACGTCAGCTTGAAGAAGCGATCTGACCTTTAGGGACACACAGAAACATATCTGTATTTAGTGGTGTTTTCTTATGATCTGATAAATCACAGCACTTGTAAAAACACCGAGGGGGAGGTTCAAATGACACAAAACCTCATGTGACAATATTGCATGCAGCTMCATGAACCAGTAACCACTATGCAATATTAACCCCAAGCATGCAGCGATGCTACCCTGAGCATGTGTTTACAGAATGCATGCACAAGGCCCACACATAGGGTATTCTTAAAYTAACCATTCCTGTCATCTGTGGAATATTTTAAAAGTCCTTTGCATCTGCAAAACTCAAATCTGACTTGTTAGACCAATCACAGAGTCCTTTTAAAATCCCATCCTTAGAATTCACTTTGTGTTGTGGGTTTCATGTTTGCTTCAAGTGCTTAATTAATAACAGACATCTGTAGTAACAGCTTTTGCAGAYGTGTTTTAGTACCCTCTCAAGAATTACAAAGCTAAATCTGCACAGCTTTCACAGTGAAACTGGGTTGTTTGGATTTTCCCRTTTTCATCTCTAGTCTCAACCACAGAACAGCCAGGTATCCCAGGAAAATCCACAGGCCTCTGTGGCAGAAATGACAACTGCTGCCATTACTGGCAGAGCCAAAGCTAAATCACTGTCTGTTGGAGCCAGTGAGAAATGGAGCAAAGCATAAATTGGTTGTAGATCTCTTTTGCCCAAACATGCATCTGCAAAATGAGACATATTAGTTATTTCGCATGAATTACCTGCACAGTTGAAAAAAATGTGATTTCTGGTCACCAGTGTTGTCAGCTTAGCAGTCTGTACAGTGAATTTATGTAATAAATGTTAATAATATACAAAGTATTCAGAGACAAAAATGACAAAAATGCACTGCACGTTGTGAAAAAAAAGGTGGATATGCAATACAGTATTATCTACTATTCAAACCTTACCTAGGCTAGAAATCAGATTCCTTCATTACGGTTCTACTGGTTTTTGGACTGGTGAAATAAATCAGAGAACAGGAGTGCCATGCACGAAGAGATCACTGACACTTTGAACARAAGCAGGCAAAAAGAAAAACAGGCATGTCATAGAATCCATTGGAAGTTCAGAGCCTCAGCCCACTGAGTAACAGGCATTAGGCAAGGGAAAGAGACAGAAGGAATCTAAATTTTCCTAAAATATGCTGTAACTTTACAAATGCTTGCAATATGTGACAGCCCATTGAACAAGCTTGCATGGTCAAGACTTGATGTGCTTTGATCTCTTTTCCCCTTCTACATTTACAGGATGCCATTGACATTGGCTAAAACTTTAATTTAAATAGCCTTTTTAATATCGGTAAGCTATTGTAAATTCAGAAAAAAATTAAAAAAAAACTTTATAAATATATTTTATATATCAGAGTATAACATACCTAGAGTAAAATAAAACTATATAGTTTTGAGAGGCATTCTGTGTGGCTTCTTCTATATGCTGTAAACTGTTTGAAAACCTTTGCAATCTTGCATCAGTTCTTTTGGCTTTATTTTTAAGCCAACGTACAGGAGAGGAGCGATTCTAGGGTTGGCAGGTACTTTCACCTGGGCCATCTGCAGAGCCCTGCTGCTGCACAGCCTTCCCCAAATCCCTGTGTCCGTGGGGAAGGGCAGGGGCAGGGTTTGGCAGTGCTGCCCATGTGGGAGCTCAGCCCAACACCTGAATGTTTACATTCCCTTCCAAAGGCTCACATTGACCCGGATCAAGAATCTGAATGTAAGAACATACGGGGTACCAGATCAGTTTCTTACCACAGGTAACTCTGCCTCTGTATGCTTAGTGCATTATCAGCTGTGTAGAATTATCAGACACAGACCTATAGTTTACTGATGCTTTAATTTGGTGTTTCCCTGCACTGCTGTTTAAAATAATCTATTTCCTCAAAAAAAAAAAAAAAAGAATGATGTGCATACTGGATGTGTTAAATTTATTAAGGTCATAGATGACTATTTGCAGAGCACCACACTTAATGTAGTATTTTTGTACTGTAATGGAAGCATGCCTTCCTTGGGTTCTTTTCCACATATTAAATTGTATTTATTTACCTGTATTTATAACTGTGCAATTTTTAAATATGTTTTAAAAATAAACTTTGTCYGTGGCTTCAAATATTTCAAAATCTCTTTTCAACTTGAAAATGGTCTTGACTTCAATTACTCGAATTGAAAGGAGGGATCCAAGTCTCCAACTGAAGGAATTTTTTCAATAAGCTCTTCTATCCTATTGTTTAAAAAGTCAACATGCTTCTCTGCTTAAAAATTAAGTTCAGAAGATTTTTTTTTCTCAAAATTTTCAATTCATTTTTCCTAAATGCATTGTTACTCTAAGGCAGAGTTATTTTCAGAATTGATTTTTATTTCGACATGTTGATCAATTAACAACTGGGATTTCTACCAGCTAAGGCCTGGCCCAAAGGGTTCTGCCCATGCAGCCCATATGAGAAAAATGGGAAAAAAAGCAGATAAAAATTTTTGCTGAAGACCATGCAACAATTAAAACAGAAGTAGTAATATCACAAACCAACCTTTATGAAAACCAAAGCCAACATTCAGAGTCTGAAATCACTACTCAAACAATTTCCTACACACCACACTAGGAGCTGGCTCTCACCATTTTTCAGTTTCGTCTTCCACGAGGTGAAAGTGCTGATATGGATGATGCCATTCCTATTCTGATTTTCTGTGGGACATCAAAGTAAAGCACAGACAGAATTCCCTGTGTGYTGCTGTGGACAGAAAAGCTGACAACCAGTGAGGGGTGGGGACAGTGACAGCACAGGGCTGTGCAAAAAGCAGGACTCTCCCCATGGAGATGTGAGCTGCTACAGGAAAGCAAAAACAATACACAGCCATGGTTGCCTGCAGCAGGAAAGCTCTGTCACAAAAGCTGACTGCCCGTGGCTTTAACCTTTCACTCAGGAACAAAAAGGAACAGACACTGAAACCACAGAAACCCTTAGGTTAGGAGGAAATGAATTGTGGGCTCTTGGCACTGGTGTGTTTTGCTGGGAGAYGTTAAGGTTGGTTTAGTTCTTGCTGCCCCAATGCACTGAGACAAAGCAGCAGCARGAAAATCCTTCAGTTGTGTGCTCCACAGGGAACCCAGACCAGGAACACAGCACTGCTGTCCTAAAGCCAAAAAGAGTGGGAGAAAASCATCAGTAYCAAATCYACACACAAAACTGCYCAAAAAAWTCACTGGTAAAGACATCTGAAAATGTAATCACCCACTCCAAACCAGCTGCCAGTCATGCAGTAGCTGTTTGCAATAATTTTCGGGCATTTGTCTTCCACCACGGCTGCCAGTGCTTCCCTGCTCCGTGTGATGCTGGTAGGACACCTGAGGGACACAGAGGTGTTCCTTCAACCTCAGTGAGGGGAGCAGAGGGTGGAATTGTCAGTCATCCTGTGCTGCCTCCCACTAACAGTCTGCAAAAGGCAGCAGGCACAAATCCCRTACAGGAAATTCCTGGAAATGCTGAACAGAGCCCAGAGCTCGCACAGGGAGCCACTCTCCCACCTCTTCCAGTCGCCAMAAGTGGTGTGAGTTGAGTTGCCATGGTCACAGGGGACATCTGTGCTAGAAGAGAAACCAAAACACATCGTTAAATTTAGACTTCAGAAGCTGAACCATTTCTTACCATTCAACATATCACATGTCCTCCACTTCCATGACAAGAAGTGTCACTGAGCCCAGCAGCTTTACCTCTTACCTCTCCTCCAGTTGCTGGTCCCGTGATCCTATAAAAAGTKATCATCCCTCAGTTTTCTTTTTCAGTCTGTTTTTGCATCTACCAGAATCCCAACAGTCACATTGCTGAGCAAAGTCCCTACACGTGAGGAAAACAGACTTCTCCTTTACTGAGCAGCAGATGACATTTCTAAGTGAGTGTGAGGAATTACAGACCATGATAAAGCAGAAATTTGGGGTGAAATGACAGCACTATTCCACAAGAACAGTGCCAGCTCTGGTGATCAAAGAGCATCAACAGGCTTAAAAGTTAAAAACAAACAAACCAATCTAAATTAAAACCTATTTTTGCCATGTTGTTTATCCACTCAGGGCTTGGGGATCTTACTTTTTTTTTTAAAACCCACAGAAATACCAGCAGACACAAGAAAACAAGACTCTCACAAACCTCTCTGTTCCCTCTGCTGGGTTTTTTTAAAGTCAAACACCAAACACGACCACAAAGAGTAAGAAGAGAGGCAGCATCAAAACACRTTCTGTCTATTCCTCTTCAGTTCAGACAGGAATAAAGAAGCAAGAATCCACACAGTCACCAGATGTGAGAATATTTCTTTTTAATTTAAAACAGTTGCAACAAAGTCATTCACAGCCTTTCGCATCTCAGACAAATACTCTCAGAAAGTTAACAGTGCTTCAAGCAAACAACTCTGAATGGTGCAAAATAAACCAGGACAGACAATTCCAGGATACAACAGTAAAACCACTGAAGAGTGAGTAAAAACCAGACACCAATCTCAGCCATTAAGGTAGGAAGAGTGACGGGGAAAACAATAAAACATCCAGTTACATATTTTGCATAGACTTCCAATGCATGAAAACAGCAAAGAGGATAAAAATGGCTGCTGCCAGGATGGACAAAAAAAGGAATCAGCTGGAGAGGTCTCTTAAGCAATCTAATGAGCTCTGGATGCACCCACACCCCAAATGTGCATGGTGACCTGGCCGAGGCTGCCTGAATCAAAGAACAGGGCTGAGGTTGGTTTCCCTTACACCAAAGTCAGTCAGAGGCAATGCCMCTGAACCCAGCAGAGCTACAAGTGKCTGGAGCTCAGAAACATCTACAGTTGTTTTAAAACTACAATTCTAATCTTAATTATATTTTAGCTAGGAAGATTAAATAGGAGTTTGTGTCTAYGTGTGTTTTGGAGATGGGAGATTGTGACTCAGAATGAGATGTCTGCTGGATCCAGCACACTGCTAGGAATGAGAGGAGAAGAGGAAATCAAGGGAAGTTGCTGAGTTTTATTTCCTTCCAATCTCCTAACTTAAATATATCACACAAGGAAGTAAAAAAACACTCTGAGAAATAAGAGCATTATTTACTGCCAAGTGCTGGCTTGCCATAATTCTCAGGTTAGATTGTCTCAAACAGCTYACAGTGATTTATTTTCCTCCATTCTTTTTTKCTCACTGAGYKCYCAGCAGCTCCTCCAGCCCCAGGGAGGCACAGGGAGCGTGGCCAGGCTGTGCTCTGAGCCCTGGCACAGCCCAGCACCTTCAGGTGGGTCAGGCATCTCCTCAGCACAGGCTGCTCCAGTGGGGTTTCTGTACCCTGATGTTCAAAAAAAAACCCCAAACTCACCAAAATTCCTTTCCTCAGGTCAGGCTGAGGGTCAGGAGTTTGCATCCTGCTCCTCCAGGTTCATGGTGTTCACACAGAACCCATCACAAAGGGAGGAGACTTAACTGGCCACTTGAAAAAAGGAGAGGCCAATATTTTGGGAGAGAATAAAGTAACTCCTCAAGCAGCTGACTGAAGAACTTGTAACATATTTTTAAGTGCTAAATTTTGTAAACCTGTAATCCTTTCATATAACTGCTCCATGCACTCTTGACCAACTTTGGTGCGGCAGGCAAGGCATGAAAGTGATGAACTGAAAAGAACTCCAGGATCTGAGCAATTCCCTGGCCACAGCCAGCCAAGGACCCTCTCTTTCTGGCCACCACCTCCAGTTTGTCMCCTGCCACCTTCCACGGGTCCCTCCTGARCCCAGGCAGCTCCACAGCTCTGGGAGGCACCAAACAGCTCACAAGATTCCAGCTCCATCCTCGATCCTGCCAGGCCAGCCATGCTCCCAGCTGGAGAATGAACACGGGAGTTACTCCGTTGGCTTTTATTTACCCAACATTTCTAAGTGAAAAGGCAGCAGATGCCAGGTTTTGGTAGTTTATAAATAGCCCTTTAAGTTTACAAGGCAGGAGGGAAGCTGGTGTGTTGAACTTCCTTGGAACGCAATTGGGAATTTGAAAAAAAATTAAAATTAAAAGGGAGGAAAAAAAAGGCCTTTTCTCCTTTTTCTAGAATGAAAAAGCACATAGATACACAGAAGTTTTTGCTCTTTCACTTTAAATAGAAGATGTATCACTGCATAAWTTGCTGATCCCATTTTCAAACCTGCCACTTTCTGTTGAAGTCCTCAAATATCCAAAATCTGGAAGAAGGGAAGAAATGACTGGCAGTTTTTATTTCATCCAGAACTGGTGGCTCAATARCTACAAGGCAGCTGAATCTCACAGGGGCCATTCATTAATGTTCAGGACACTGCACTAAAGTGTCAATAGGAGCTCTAAGTGCAGGGAGCTTTCCCAGCAATTAGACACCTTTGCACTCCACAGAATTATTGCACTGGAATTTCTCCCAWCATCTTTAAAGATCAAAACCTGATTAAAACATCAAAACATGGGTTTTGGTTCTATTTTTAACCAGATGTTTAATTTGTGTTATCTTCTGCAGTGCATAGCTGCCCGAATTTTGCTATTAAACTTGCAGGCACTAACTGCAGAGAAAATGTAATGACACCTCTCTGGCTCTCCTGCACTCTGCAAAAAAAGGATTTTTAATTTTTTTTTTGACTGTTGCAATTTATTTTGAGGGCTTGGTAACATTGTACAAGGCAACTCCAGCCACAGCTTCTAAACAGTGGCCAACACTGTGAACCTTTGGGTTTGGGTYGTTTGTTTTTTTTAAATCATGAAAGGTTTTGCACTYACCATTGTAATTCTTCAGGGTGTTTTTAAATATAATAATAAAACTCACATATGTATTCTTACCTGTGGCAAACACTTAAATAACACCAAAAAAAAAAAAAAAAGACAGGAAAGGCCAGCCCCTGCCCACCCACCCCTGCCAGAGATATCAAACCCCTTCCAGAAGGTGTCTGTTGAAGAGATCAGATTATTGGTGCATTTGCAAGTATAAAGAAAGCTGAAATATCAATTCAAGGTGGGTTTTATGCAGTTTGATTTCTTTTCCTTGCTGTTTTTTGTTGGTTTGGTTTTTTAAGGGAGGGAGAGAGGGGCAAATCAACAAACCAGCAAATTYACTAAGCAATTTCTCCCACTCCAATATGAAACTCAGTATTTAAGCAGAAAGCAGGATTTTTTTTTTGTCAGGGAGTTGATTTCAGATGGAACATGAGTGGTCTAAGATGCAAATTTCCCTGACACAAATACAATGGGACATGGAACCCTTCTTCACCTCCTCCAGAAGGAAACCAATTTAAACAAAAGCCTTGCCTTTCCTGAGGGTGTGCATTAATTTCAAAGTCAGAAATTCTGCTGCTTTCAGCCATCTGTAACCCCGAATCTGTTGGAAGAACTTGCAAAATGAACATTCAAGTGAAAACGAAGAAACCTATGCCTGCAAAAATAAAATTTCTCTTTGGCAAAAAAGTGCAGAGGGCACTGAGAGGAGATTGCTCCTGTCTCCATCAGGCTCACGCATGGAAAAGTCAAATTAAGATACTGCACCACTGAATTCCAACAGATACAACTTCAGCTGACTTTCCTCACTGCACTGAAAATAATCTCTGAAATAGGACATTCTGCTCTGAAGAACAGCCACAAACCTCCTCCCTTCGAATGATTTCTCTACGTGGTCTGGACTCTGGATGAAAGCACCGGGTCCCAGTTACCAAAAACACAAATATTGGTTTGTGTTCTTCAAAGGAGGCACGGACAGAGCAGGCAGGAGCTGGGCTCAACTGGGCTATTTTTGCTCAACACTGAAGCTTCCACATTCTCCACACACTGGCTGCAAACTGCACCAGAAATCCACTGTACGGTGTAGAAATCCAAAACAATGTCCTATACAGCACCTAATAGAAATCTTCCATCTAACACTTAAGGCGGCGTCAAATGATTGTTTTTAAATACACTATAAACATCCCATGTTTTCCTTTGCTTTTTGGCAGTCCAAGGGTTTGGGGTCTTTCGTTGGTTTTAGGTTTTTATTTATGCTTTTTTTTTTTGGCAGGTTAAAAAGGCTTATGGCTTCTTAAGGCCGGGTGATAGATCTGAGGCCTAACTTGGTATCCTGTGGTAAAAATAAATGTAGCCCAGGTCTTTGGGAGGTCGTTCTGAGGCACAGACTCTAAGGTCGTTGTAGATCACCCATCTGAAAGRAAAACAAGATTGATTACATGCCATGGGTATAAAAATCATCACAGGCTTAGCAGGGACTTCTCAGACCCAAACATCAAAAGTTTTAATTTAAATTTTGTTCTTGCACCCAGAACAAAAGATCAGAGAAACAGCTGAACCAGGTTTACTGGCAGAGTGAGGAATTGAAAAGAAGGGATGTGCAGAGGAATGTGTAGTTACAGCTCAGATGAAGGAAAATCAGGGATTCCCAGTGTGAAATAATGGGAGCATGTMAAAATCCCAGCCAAGATCAGCACCACAGCACCAGCCCAGAGTCTGATGGGTTTCTGTTGATGGGCAACAAAAGGAAGCTGGGGAAGGCTCAGATAAACCAAGCCAGACACAGAACCAGTGCCCCAAATTGAACAGAGATCTGGAACAGCAAGGACAGGAGAGCCMAGGGAACATTGCACCACCAACTTCAGTGGGATCAGAACTGACTCATCCATCTGTGACCTTCTCCTTTCTTTGGTGGGAATGCACAGATGGCAACAGCCCCTGTTTTGTGCCACGAGCACACCCTGCTCTGTGCAGATGCTCCAGTCAAACATTTGCCCAAGCCATGTGTCTCCCCCAGSTGTGCTCACCTTCCCTCCTTTCTGAGGTGACAAACGTAGTGGCCACTCATGGTGGATGTTCCCATGTGGCTGATGAACCCAAACAGCTCATATCCTGTTTTAAGGAACAGAAATGGCACCCTAAGTATTTGATTGCTAACTCTGCAGTGTGACTGCAGGGGAAATGTTCTTTCTGATACTGGARGAGCAGCTAAGCACTCCTAACTCAGACTCTGCAGCCCCAAACTCAGTTTCTGTTGACTCTGCAGCATGTTCCCAATTTAACTGGTGGTCAGATTCACTGTCAAACACCAAAGCAATCCCAACCAAACCCACACAGACCTGTGCACACACAGCAGGGCTGTGATCACAGCCCCTGTGAGGGACAAAAACAGCAGATTCATTCCCAATTCACAGAGAGCATCACAGGGAGTGCAAACAGGGAGTTCATTCTGGACACAAATTAGCTGTGTCTATTGTGTGATCACAGACCCCCTATAAACAAAAAAAAACCAACAAAAAACACAGAAGTTTGTATTTCAGCAGCCCATAAAAGAGAGGACAGGAAAAAACCCTCTTCCTTTAACAGAAGGACAATTTTGGTGCTTAAAATTTCTGGAAAGCTCAACACTGGTTCTTGATCCCCACCCATTCATACCATTCACCCAAATTACCACTAAAAGTAAAAGGGTAACTTCCTTCAGGACATTGCCTAAGGACATGGGCCTGGATTTTGGTGGAAAGGGTTTTCTGGAGCCATTTTAGAGAATCATRTTGGTGATCAGCATTTCAGGCACTCAGTAAAGGGTCTCAGCCTATAAAGGCTAAGTACCACAAAAAATAATTATTCCAAGTTTGGGGCTTCTTTTAACCTAATAAAATCAATATTTCCCATGTCTCCAAATGACTTAAGGCTGATATTCACAATGTTAATACAAGAGTAGCAACCACAGACACAAAAATCAAATTGTCTGTTAATTTTTTTTTTCCTAAGACCTTTACATTCAAGATCAGATAAAGCAATTTAGAACATACTACAGTCACTAAAGACTCCTCAAAAAAACTTCTGTGATATCCTTAGAAAAACTTTCTGTGATATCCTTAGCACGGCTGCTGAGCTTTTGTACTCCAGGGCTGTGACAYTTCCAGGTTTGCCCATTTCACAACTCTGCCTGCTGTACATTAGCCCCATCTTGTGGTTTATTTAGCAGCAGAATGACAAAGAATCTCAACCAAGAGAAAACAAAAATATGCAGGTTATCAACGATACCTCTGGTATTGTGAACAAGGAACTCGGTTAAAGGAATTATCAAATTATCTGTCTTTAGGATGCTCAGCCTCTGAAGATTTAAACATCCTATCTTTTCTTTGTCTTTTTATCTTRTAGCAACAGAACAAAAAGTAAACCTAGGCCACAAGAGACTTACATGGTAGCAAGAAACTTTAAATTCAGGTTGTTCAGTGAGATCAAGGAAAGAGTTTTCTGAGCAAACAGAGCCCAGAGAAWTCAGCAGCCCACAGAGATGGATTCAGCCCCAGAAAAAAAGACTGGAAGTAAATAGTTTGGATCATGTCCAAAAAAACCAGAGTAACTACTTTGCAAACAGGAAGGAGCTCTGTGAAGGGGTGTGTGTGATGCAACAACACGACAGGCAGGTGTAAGGTGAAGCAGAACTTACTGCCAGGCCCGTCCTTGATCCTGGGTCCCTCTGACCCTGTCTCTGCCAGGATATTGGCATTGGCATTGTTCTCCATGTCCATCGTGTCCAAAGCAGGGTCACTCTCTTCCTCAGGGTCAGGGTGGCTGAAGATCCACTCCAGTGCACGCTCCAAGTTATTGTTCTGCCAGGCAAACAATGGAAGAGCAGCCTTTAATGCATTCTCTAACATTGTGCTGCCCCTCATCAGCCTTTGAACAGGGGAAGGATCACGTTAACACAACTTAAAACTGGAAAGATGCCTCTGCCTCCCTGGAAAATAGCATTCAGCAAGCAGTGTGCAAAAGCTTGACAGATGGAAAAGAAATAATCCCACACCTAAAACTCATTGCCCCAGGTTCTTATCTTGCAGACACACAGTTATTTTTCAACAGGTAGTAAAAGTAGGAAAGTTTTCCTCACTGTCTTCCATGCTTTAYCATTGCAGTGAAACACACAAAGCACTTTCCCCACTCCAGAGAMCCCCACACTTTGCCAGGATAGTTCCAGGTGCATCATTTGGATTTTTACACACATTTCAAAGACATCTGAGCAAGCACCCGTACAAAGCACAGAATACAAAACAAAACCCACGGACTCACCGCCGCCTTCAGYGCTTGAATTGCCACATTCCTCTGGAACCCCATGGAAATGATGATKGCCACCATCTCTTCAGGAGGCTGGTTATCCAGCCCTGCAGCTCCCAGAGCAGCTACCCCACTGGAAGCAACTTCTCCAAACGCAGGTATGACCAATGGCTCGGCAAAGTCTGGAACAAACAAACRTTCATCAGTTCCTTCTGCCTCTCTGAACGGGAAAGTCAAACAAACACAAAGACAACAACACACAGRACCTCAAAAGCAGTCCTGAAATTGATGTAAATTCATTTCACTGGCATCTAAATTCAGACTTAGATGTGTGGAAAGCCTTAAAAACAACAAAATGAATGTGCACATTACAAAATACCYAGGTGTGCGTGCTCATACTGAGCAGACTGGAGTAACTCGGCACATTGCAGAAGTGAAACAACTGCAGAAAAGCAGCAAAAATTGGAATGGAAGCGATGATGGCATCAGGATAATAAACAACCCAGTGCACAGATGTCAAATGAACGGATTCCATATCTGAGAATGCCAGCTAAGCCCAAGTGAAACTCATTCCCCATTTACACAAGCAACACAAAGCCCATGGTGAAGCGTGAACTCAACCAAATCTGGAGCTCCCTGGCAAGGGAATGCTCGGGGTACTCAGAGCTGAATCATGAGCCCAAACTCTGCACAGATGACACACAGCAAGTGGAGAACATCTAGCAGCCCTGTCCATCACCACACAGCCCAAGGATGGATGAGTGCTCCAGCCTCAGCTAGAGAAGGCTGACATGGAAGAAAAGCATCCAGACCACAGGATTCTTTGTACTTACACTCGGTCACAAGTCAGCTCCCCCTTAGCAGCACGGACCTAGCCAAAGGGTGGAAACAGAGCTGTTGTGGCTYAGTTTGCTGTCTTCTTCTAGGCAGAGGATACCACATAATGGTCAAGATCTGCACATGCCAGGAGCAGCTTAGGAAAAYTCACTCACTCCTCCAGGGTTCCCAGGTGGGGAAGGGGGGCCGCTGTTTCTCTGTCACACATTATAAAATCTCTACTGATTGCCAGAATACACAACCAGGAGCTGAGTTTAACTCACACCTTCCAGTCACTGACCTGGCTCTTCCATGTGGGCAATGATCCAGTTGAAAGCCACTTCAGCACCCAGGTTGCCTGTATAGTAGACAGCTTTGCGACACGCTTCCAGAGGAAATCCCATCTCTGCCAGCTGCATCACTGAGGACTCATCAATATCTAGGGCTACAAGAAAGGACCCTCTAAAATATAAAGGTCTGATTTCATCTATTGTGTAATATTTTTGACTGTTCCTCATGGTGCCACACATTGCTTGGATTTGGTTCAGTACCATAGAAAACAGCCTTATACAAAGCATTTCAGTAGTTGTTATGGACTTAATGATAACCTTTTAGTCTCACTAGAGACATAGATCCCCACACAAATCATCAAACCTTGATGAATTCCTACAGGACTTAATTTATTTTACAAAACCTCAGCAGTGGATTTCAAAGGGTGAAGAAGTCAGGTGCTGAGCTTAGCCAGAGATGGCAGCCAAAACCAAGCATCTCTCAAAGGCAGGATCGTGCAGGTTGGAGAAACAACAGCTGCCAGATCCAGCAGCCTCTGGATGACAGAGTCTGACAGCTTTCCATGAGATCAGAGGGAGCAGGATCAAGCAGCTCTGACCCCCAGAACTGCAAGATTCTCCTGAGAAGCAGCTTGATATTCTGGTTTAGAGAGCYCTGCACACACGGAAGCAAACACTGAACAAACACAGGAATCAGCTTTGATTTGGATGCATGCAGGGCAATGCTTCATGCAWCTCTGTGGGGACACAGAAGCCACGAGTTGATCAAAAGCACAACAATTTTTTAAGCAGTAGAAAAATGAGATACGTACACTCCATGAAGTGGTTCGTCATGCGATCTGAAAATTAACAGTGAGAAAAAAAAAAACAGGGAAAAGGACTTAAATGAAGGCTAAGTAGATCCCTATGGGTAAAACAATTCCATATTTTTTAAGTCACAGAAATATTTGAMCTCATAGAGACAGGGCAGTTTCATCCTTACATCCCTGATGTTTTTGCCATGATTTAGAGTCAGAATATTTCTGCTCAGAAATTTTTTTTCCTAACTCATTTCAGAGCAAAATGTCACTGGTACTGTAAACGAGTAGGAAATAAAGCTGATGGCTGACCTAAGCAAGAATCTGTTAAAAATAAAATACCATCACCCATTGCATTTACACTAAAACTAGGTCAGTCCATTCAGTAAGARGGCTTTTGTGAGGAACCTATGCAGATAAGGAACGAAATTAAAACCTTTAGAGAAATTAATTTGGTCATATCCTTGCTCTGCACAAATTTTCAGGTACAAGCCTTCTTTCACAAACAGCATGATATTATATATAAATATATATTTATATTATAAATATCCAAGCAATATGATGCTTATACCCAAGCATCCATGACATCCATTATTATAAATATCCAAGCCACAGCATGTCCAAACATGATTTTACTTGCTATAAACCATTTCATTCTCCAGGGAAACCCCAGGAATAAAGAAGGAGGATATTTAATACTCTTGTTTCTGAACTTTAGCATAAGAAAAACAGTGTTTAAGATAAAAAAWATTACAGCATGGCACATTAATCTCTCCTCTTTTTTCTGCTCTACAAATATTATAGTGAGGTGTTTGCCATCATCTCCTTGAGACAAAGCGTTTTTAAATTGGCTGTGTACAGAAATGTTTTTTGCTCATAGTTCCAAATGGTGAACACTGAAGAGAATCCCTTTRTGCTGGAAGGAAAGGGGGGAATAAGTGAGTAAATACCTTTTGGGTCATCAGGAATGACAATGGGAGGAGCAATGTCTGGGAGCTCCTCTTCTCCTGGCTGGAGCCCCCTGGCCCGAAGGTGGCTGATATCCAGGAAATCTGGCATGTCTATGGAAACATCTGCAAAAGCAGAGGAATGGGCTGAGCTCCTGCAGCCAGCAAAATGACCTTATGGTGCATCCTTACCCCTTTAGAGAGGGGATTCTGGCTCTCAAGGTACAGGGACAGCCAGGATTCTCCTTCTGAAAAGAGTTCTTTGAGAAATTTAGAATGTTAAAAGCACAATTTAATTAGCTGAGATTACATGAAACTGTGKTTTAGTCCCACAGACCTGATGGATTGGTTTAATTTGTCACAAAAGGAAAGAAGATTCAGTTAGCACCTTCACAGTACAAACTTAAGATTTGAGCCAGGTCCTCATTATAGTCTGTGCACGTTACTAATTATCTTGGATRGAAAGGTAAATAAAACTAGCACTTACCAAGCTTTTTGGGTATCCAGTCAAGGCCAAAGGTGAATTTCTTTATCTGCACCACCAAGTACTCAGGAAACGAAGCAAAACGAGAAGTCCTGGGAAGGCAAAGAAACAAAATTCATTGAAACAAGGCAACAAAAACCCCCAGCAGCAGCACAGATCTCAGTGCCTCGTGGACATTGAGATGAACTGTCCCTGGTGATACACAGGATCCAACTCTGCAAGTGTTTAAAGTTCAAACTTCCAACCACCAGACTTGGAGTCTGTCCATGGAGAACAATTTATTTCCTGTTTAATTCATCATTACAAACCTTKCAAGGCTCATTCTGCACATCACATTGATGAGCCCCAGCCTGGATGTGCCCCCCGAGCTCACTGTGCCTTTGTGTTTCTCTCTGCACCATGAACAGAGAGCAAGAGCAGAGTTTTCAATAGGCAGCCAGACACAAACTTACTTAACTCCTGCAGATTTTGCTTGAAGGGCACTGCTCCAGAAATCCTCTACGTTGCTTGGTTCAGAAAAGGCCTGCAGACAAGCAGTAAATGGGATCTTGGCACGGACCAGCTCTGGCAGAGGTCTCCTTGCAGCTTCTGCTTCTCGCCTCTTCAATTCATAGGCAATTAATTCATCTGAGAATCACACACAACACTAAAAGCTAATGAACACTGTCATGGTTATGTGTTCCTCAGCAGGCTTATTTTTGCCTTAGGTTTAGATATGCCAAAACCTACTTAGCAATAAAAGTTTTACATGTTTTTTTAACTAGACATCAAATCTTTTTGTCTGCATTGGGGTCAGGAGCTACACTTACAGCCACATCTCTGTTTGAGGGTTTCTGTTCATGGTGAAAACACTGGAAATAGCAGGCAACAGGCAAAGAAAACCTTGCAGGACAGCCAAAGTCCTGTGAGAAGAGAAACACCACCCACCTACCTTGTCAGAGCTCAATCTGAGGTGGAAAGTTATTGCTGTCTATCTCTGTCATCTGACTTTTTAGACAGGATTATGCATGATCTAGAAAAAGTCYTGACACTGACAAGCTGAGCAGTGCCATATGGTAAACTCACAAACTAATCTGTCTCCTGAGTCATTACCTGGAAATAACATGTTCTTTTATAAGCAATGGAGTCACCACTGAAACTGATTAACAAAGAACACAAAGTTCTACTAAACTTCTTGTCCAGTGSAAGGAGATGTGGGTTAGGCAAAAAGCAGGAGGTAGAATTCTCAGCCCTGTGGTATTTCAGAGGATCTCATCAATCAAAATAGATCCTTCTGGCTTTAAGAGTATTTTAAATGTTCAGATTAGGTGAAATCAGAGGCACACCTCCCTTCATGTTCCTGTGATGTCCTCTGCACTTCCACCTCAAGCACACATTTATTATGTTATTCTGCAAGACCCTTCACCACTGATGGCGGGTGCAACCACAATTCTCCCTCCTGCTCCCAAATCTTCAAGCCTCCTCAGCCATTTTCTCCTTCAAAAACAAGTGTGCTTCTCACAGGCATGAGAAAAAAATACTCCTGTTTATTAAATGAACAGCCACTCTTCATCCTCTAAAGCCCAGAACATCCAAACTGTGTATTTTGGATTTGTAGATGACAAACCATCTTCTACCCCTATTCTCTATTACCATATTAGATCTTATAATCTGCTGCTAAAGAAAAGAAAGCAGATTTGGTTGTTTTGTTTTGCTTTTTTTGTGAGTGTGTGAATATTTTTTAAAAAATATTCATTAGCTGGTATGTTCAGTTCCCTTTTTCTAATGAAGAAGTTTTCACAAACTGTTTCAGTGTCCAGAATGAGGGAGATTCAGTGCTGGTGGGGATCTCTGGGCCCACACACACGCAGGACAAGGGTGAATAAATTGAGCTGAATGGGATGTGACACATTCCTGGGTCAGAAAGAGCAGTTTATTCCTTTACCTTTGTTGGTGGCTGCCTCCATGGCCACAGGTAACTGCATGATGTAGTCCACCCTCTCGGTGTAGCGCACCTTCCTGGACTGGCAGCACTGCGTGCGCTCCTCCACCACGAACCGGAACACATCGCTGGGGTTTCCTGAGCCCACGGGGTTCCTCTGCAAGGAAGATTGGACCCAATCAYTTGTGTGGAGATGGTTAGAATGACCAGAAAACCCACAGGCTGCTGGTTGTTTTATGGCAAGCACAAAGACAATGATCCGGCAGCTCRGCTCGTGCTGCAAAAATCCATAATTTCTGCACCCACAGCACAGGAACTTGCAGGGTTTGTAYCCAAAGAACCTGGCTGAGCCAGGATGAACAGAAGAAGGCAGGAAGGTGGGAAGTTATAAATAACATGGAGCATCCCTTCAGCAAATAGGATTTGCTSCTTCCAGTCTGAGTATGCACTGAAACAGAACAAGCAACTTGTAGTTCATTATCCAGATGGGAATGTCATGCAAATAATACACCTCCTCTTTGTTGTTCATGTTAATGYCTGTTATCAGGCAAGAAACAGAAAAGTCTCTTCTAACACCCTATCATCAGTACATGCATTTGGGGATGTGGGGCATTGTGCATACAAATGTGAGTAATTTCATCTGGAGACTGAACACACGAATAAACACCCTCCATTCTTGGGGCAAATGGGAAAATGAARAAATGCTTGACATCAAAACTGCGTGGATTTGTAAATTCCTTTGCAGAAAGACAGCATTAAAATTCACAGTATGGTTCCTTTACACACAGCTCTGAGCTGCAGCTTGGTGGAACTAAAGCTTTTTTACACAGAAATATTCAGCTGACAAACAGCCACTCTGCTTTCTGCAGGGGAATTCTTCTTCCCGTGATTCATACAGCTGGGATTTGTAAAACAGCTGGACAGGGTAATTAATTTACTCCCAAAAATTGTATAAATTTGGAATAATAATAATAATAATAATAATAATAATAATAATAATAATAATAATAATAATAATACCCAACTCATCAATATTCCATGGAACACTTCAATATGGTAAGCAAGAACTGAAATTTAAAAGGTCACATATGTTTATAGATCTTATAGCCTGTCCAATGATGCTTGACCTGCTTATATTTGTTATCAGCAGCACTGGCCCTGGTCATGCAAGAGTCTGAAGCAAAGAAGAGAAAGAATTAAGGAAGCAAACATTTCTAAAACAAAATACATTTCATTAGTCCCATCTTCGACATATCTCTGGTTAAAAACAGTATAACTAAAAAATGAGCCACTCATGTAACAGTTTTGCCTTCATTGTCTAATATAACCAGAAGAAGAAGGATTAATTTGGATTCTCTCACCTCTACCAGATTTATAAGATGTAGGAAAAATTCCTGTGCGTCTTGTTGTCTATTGGAGGAAAATTCTGGGTGACCTTTGCTTATGAAAGCCTTGAACATTCGGGGAGATATTCCATTGTGCTGAGGCTAAATAAAWGAGAGAAAAACATTTTAAAGAAGGATTTTTATTCAATCACGGACCAAATGCCTCAAAGTCACTGTACTAGATTTATCTGTGGCCCATTTCTGGCACTGGAGGAATGATAGCTTCCATTTCACCAAGTTTTCCATTTCAATAAAAATGGGAAGGGCCCTGAAAAGGGTATTAGGATAACATTTATGGCTTAGTTCCTACAGCATTCACTCCACATGTTCTATGGCATTTGTAAATTAAAAGAGATTACTGGAGGTTTTYARAGGTGAGCAGTTTCCAGAAAGCTGRAAGCYRGCATTGTTTTATAACATTTGATGTTGCTTTCAGAGCCCTGTGCCAGAGCCTTGAAGCGCTTTGGTGCACCAGCTGGCAGCTCTCCTCAGGACAAAACCTTACAGAGGGCTGTGCAGAATCAAGCAGAGAACAAATAATGTGTGCAGCATGCATTCCCAGGCGGGTTGGTAGGAGCAGACGTGAATTTGCAATTTGCAGGTGTTGGTCATGTTGAAAAACCATAACTCACTGCCTTTGGCCATTCAGTTACATCAGGAGGGAATTGCCCTAAATTAGAAAACCTCTACCCTCCAAGAGAGTCCTAGTTTTGACTTTCTAATCCTTTACACCACTTTAAGRACCTCCACAACCATTCCAGATCCTCAAGATGACACTAGCTATTATGCYTTTTAAATAACATTTCTGAAGGGTTCAGAATCTTTTACTCAGATTTGCCCTCACCATCCATGAAACCAAATAATTTTCTACACAATCCAAGCAAAAGCACAACTTCTAGGACTGTCTCAGAGGCTGTTAAAAACTCAGCCAATCTCATTCCTTACTACACTTGCACAATCATATGAATATAAAAATAGAAAAAGAAGCATGAAACAGAGGGCATATCAAAGACATACTAGAAGAGCATTTTTTTTTTATTTGTTTTACCAGGATGCAGTGTTCCTAGACCCACTGAAATCAGAAGCAGATTCTCARTTTTAATGCTTTTTCAGTTTTTGGCAGTACATCACCAACCACATTAGGCCAAGATGATCCTTAAAGGCTCCCATCAAGGACAGAGCCTCARTATTGCCTGGACAAAGAGATGTTCCAGGGGTTTCTGCATCTTAGGTTTATATTGCTTCAGTGTCCTCAACTGCCTTTCATCTAAACTGGGGCTGGGGAGAGGAATGCACAAAGCAGCTCCACAYTACAATATCCCAGGCTTCTTCCCATGCCAGGAGTGAGAATGTGGCACACTTGCCCTGCTGTAAAATGCAGTGAGTTTGGGATCAAGCCTTGTTTCCACCTAAACACTCTGTACCCACTCATTTGAGCAGCAAGAAGAGAAAAGTGCCATGTGTGATAGTCTACAAAACAGGATTGAATCTTGCAATCTCACCTCAAGGACATAAAACAAAAAAAAAAAAAAAAAAAAAAAAAACAGAAAAGCTCTAAGCAGAAAATCAAGTCCTGGGTGATGATCCTTTGGGAATTCAGCCTCTTCTTAATGTTAAAGTGGATCCAAGAAAAATGCTGCCATTTCCAGGCTAAACTCCTGGGGTGAAAAATTTCAATTCCACAACACCACGAGTATTTACAGAATACCTGGCATGCTTTCCCCATCAACAGTTGCAAAACAGTTYAGCTAAATATAGATTGTGCTGGACCACTGCAGATCTCATATGAATGCTTTTACAGCAATGACTCCCCAGAATTTTGGATGAATTCCAAAGGCTCGGAAAGATTGGGAGCTTCTTTGCAKGCAGGAAGGGGGGAAAAAAGTAAAGGAATAAAAGTGAAATGAATAATTGATATTACAGACACAAAGCAGAAGCACTTAAAAACATTTAAGGTCTTAAATGCTATGCAAACAAAATAAAGCATCCTCAATCTGAAAAAACCCTATGTTTTTGTATTTCAAGAGTGAAGGAATAGAGAAAATATCTATAACTGATTTTTTCTGTAAATAAATCATCAATAAAAGAAACAAAAGCTGTAAAAGCTGTTTAAAATCCCATAATATGTGTTATGAGTCGCTTGATAAGGAACTAATTTCATGCATGCAACTCCAGCTTTATTAAAACTGAAATTATGAACAAAAGTACTGTTAAATGCCTACTACAACCTGACAGAGTTTTATGCCATCTGTCATTAAAGAGTTCCCAATATCTCATGAGTGGCTGCTGACCTAAACGTGGAGGTGTAGCTTTATTCCAAGGATCCAGACCCCTGAACTTCCAGTGCATTTTCCAGCCACATCCTCTATGTGTTTAGGAAAGCAGCTCAGTCAGTGCACAGAATTCAATATAAGGAGTTTGCTGCAATCTGTCCCACTATTCCATTGTCCCAAGGGAGAGCTGATGGGTCTTGAGCTTTATTTAATGGGAACAAGMAGGATTCATCTGCTTTCCAAAACAATGAGCAGCCACTGCACAAATTACAGGACTTTCAGATCATGCAAACTGCTCTGTACCACATGTTATATCTGTCCAAAAATCTTATTCTGATTTCAGGAGAAATTCCTATATCAATAATTGATAGATTCCTGTATCAATAATTGATAGAYGAAGGTAGAGGAGTGAATCTATTTCCATGGAAACACCACCATCACTGTGTGGCACAAACACACATTATTTGTGTGGCTCTGCTTGGCCCCTGAAAGCCTCCAGCATCACTAAATCTTGCTGTACTTAGATAGCTCCCCCTGAAATCAGGTGGAATATTGTCAGACACTTCCTGGAAACAATTCCTTAGCTCTTTATCTACTTCTTTCTGAAACTTAAAGAGGATTGAAAAGTTTCCTTCAAATACTCAGGACTCTCTGACTAATATTTTTTTGCTGTTTTTCCTCAGAGATGATAAACACTGGTTGCTCATTCTGTGAGTGTTTGCACCCATCACTGGGGCAGGGGAACACTTTATCAGCAGAACCAAGGCTGGCTTTGATGCACTGCACAAATAGTGCCTGACTAATTTATCCCTGACTTAGGATCCTGCACATTCCACCTTGCTAAACATCCCATCCACGCTGGACCCACACGTGTTCCTCAATGCCCAGCACCTGTTCCTTTTTCTCAGGATATCACTTTTACCTCGTTACCAGGCTGTACAAACTCAGGCAAATACCTTGTGTTCTTCTTTCATCACCTGCTCAATAAGCTCAGATTTCATGGGTGGCTTAGAGTAYTGGCCTGAAAGGAGCCCATGTCCCAGTTTAGCCCTGTAAGGAAGGAAGTGGTGGGGTGGAAACAAACATGTGAGAAAAACAGAAAAAATTACTTATTTCAAGCTAAAAAAAAAGAACTTTACTAGTTTTGACTCCTTGATGAACCATCATTACCTGCAGCTAAGTRGTCAAATCTTCTCATTCTCCCTTGTGCCATAATCTCACTTTTGAGCCCATAAAAAGGTGTTCTTTTGCTTGCCATTAAATAATTCAGATTCTATTTCACCTGACMAATAAATAACTGAGAAAAGTCACTTACATCTGAGTGTTGAAATCTTGTGTTGGGTCAAGAGGAGAGTAGTCAAATATTCGTGGAAGGTTTCCCACATACCTGGGCAGSAAGAACAAAGCAGAAATGTTCAAATATTGCAGCTTAATGATTCAATGCTTCTATCATGCAAAAATAAGAGCAAAGAAATTAAGAGATGGACATTGAGGTTTTACTTGGAAGCTTCTAGCTATAAAGGATATGGCTGTGTCATTCATCTGGAATTTACATTCTATTCCTTAATCCTACAAAAGCTGCAGGATGGTGTTGGTCAAAACCACAGAGCTGAGGTGAAAACTAACGTGCTTTATTCCTAACCAACAAAACCAAGTCAATTCAAATTTGCTCCAGGACCAAAATATGTAAAAAKAACATTTCAATTGAGCTTCACAAGTTTTCTCCCTCTTCTTCTCCAGAAGGTAATTTCTAACATGAAAACCRGGGAGACTTTCAAAAATCTAGAAGCTTCACTTCCAGCACTACACTACTGCTGCTGTGAAAGGAAAGGGCACTCTGAACTTTATTTCAAACCACGGACTGTCTTTTATAAAAAGGCTTCTCTCCTTGCAGTGAAATGCTCAGTTTTGATCAGCTGGGAGTATTTCATATTTTTCTGTTGTGCTTTGGTCCTTATTTAATCTCTTAATTATTCAGTGGAAGAACACATTTACACTTTTATTAATTTTTCTTTTCCTGAATTTTAATTAAAAAGTGCCTCTGCTAGTTTCCCCCCTTAGCCAGACCTGCATGCAACAGATGCATTGTTTTTCACTAGTATGGATCAATATTAACATATCTTTAAAATATTTTTGTGCCCCTTTTTTTTGCACAAATCACACTGGAGCATCAGAGTGACTCCTGCAGTGAYACTGGCACAGGCCCTAAAATGACACTGATGATTCCCAGGTTAATAGAGATTTGTGCATCTGTGTATAAAAAATAGAGACTGAGACACCAAATTTATGGGGTTGGTACATGATTGCCCACCACTGAGTTTGAGAAAGTAAGTTTTTATTTCAAAGGCAGATTGGGTTTTGTGTTCCAATGTTTTCCAGAACAGACTAAAACAATCACTAAATCCTCCAAGCAGCCACTGAACTGACTGAAAGAGACCTGTTTGCARGTGAGACAAAAATTTAAAATGTAATTTTTCTTAGAAAAACAACAGAGTCATGAAAGCAGCAGCTAGTGAGAAGAGACAGACTGGAGCTACTTACGCTCGCTGGAACTCTGGGATGCTGAAAATGGCTTGCATGACAGCATTGAGGTAGCAGCTATTTCCCAGGTTCTTCATGCCAGTGTACCCTGGGCCATACATGGGCTTGAGTTTCACACCAGCTTCCTGAATCACTTCCCATTCTGAGACTCTTGGCTTTATGTCGTTATCTCTTAGCCCATTCTCTGTCTGAAAGCAACAAGATTTTTTTAATCTCTTTAACTTCTGCAATAATTATGGTGCTGCCATCATCATCATCATCATCAACTTTGTGGGCTATACTCCAAAAAACAAAGCCAAATCAATGGGCAAAGGGAGGTAAATCCTGCCTGTAGGGGMAGATGAGGGTGAGAAAGGCAGCAGCTCATTCCTCCAACACATCCCTCAGCTCCTTAGCAAAGCCACTGGCTCTTTGAGGGCTCCCAGATGTGACCTCCATCCCAGCTGGGAGCTTCACTTCTCCCAGGGCTGTAACCTCAACCCTCAACATCAAACACTGTGTTTTTTTTCAGGTCTCCTATTCCATTTGTAATGGCCAGGAATAGCTGCTGCTGCAGAAGCTGGTCATAACAAACAAACCCCATGAAAAGCTGCAGATCCAAGARCTCTTCTCCTCTTTCAAAGGGTAAAGGCCATAATTTGTGACACTGAAGTTTCTCCCCTTTACATTCTGCCTTCAGCCTGTAGGTGCAGGTCACTCCAGTGTCATTTACTGCTGGCACTACTCTGTCACTTCTCAAAGGATTGTACAAAAGATCAAAGAGCATAGGTGAAACCTTTGCAACAGCTTAGAGTAAGTTTCCAAGGCTTTCCAGAAAGATTTGGATAAAATGAATTTTTTATGCGTGATACTGGCAAGGACATTAATATATAGAAAGTATTATTAGTACCATGAACACTTCCAAAACCAGTTTAACTCTTTATCATTTCAATTATTACCACTTTTCTCACCACTTGGACTATCAAATACATTTAACTAGTAGCAGGTTTGTTACCTTTTAACAGTTTTCATRTTCTCAGGTAGTGATACTAGGTTACAGGCTTGAGTGGAAAAAAAAAACCCAACAACAAACCAAATGAAAAACCCAACACAACCACAAAAAAACCACCTGCCTTTATAAGCACATCCTATTCTGATTTCTTACATTATTTAAACACAGCTGGAACCAACATCCACTAAGATACAAATTATTAAAAGTACTTCTTTAACAATACAGACACACACACAAAATCCTTTTTCCCCCAGTCTCTTTCTAGCATATTACACCCTAGAGCATGCTGTTTTCTAGACTTRAGAGAATGCATTTTTCTCATTTTCTAATGCCTTCATTGACAATTTACATAAAAAACTTTCAGCTACTTCTTTACTTATCTATTGCTTAGTTTTTTTTTTTACTTAGAGCTGTATCTGTTTACACTTGCAATAGGCTTCCCTTCACTCACTGTAATTAAATATTCTAGATATTCTTCTCTAATTGAATGAGGTTTATCATCTTGAAGACAAATGGTACATAACAGGGAAAATGAAAACTGTGAACTAAAGACCACAAAGGAATCTTTTCAGAAGGCAACTTTTGGATTTGAGAGCAATGATTTACTCAGAACTCAGACAACAAAACCCAAATTAGCTGGCTGCACTTTACAAAAATGAATACTATCTTAACAGTCTGAAGGAATCAAAAATAAGCTACAGGTGTCATTCTTCTGCTGTTTCTGTCCCACTCCTGACTGAACAAACAAATGAACAAGGTAAATAAAGGATGGATCTCCTACCACTTGCATCTGCAGCATGTCAATCCCAAAGTGTGCCAAATGCTTTGCAATGTGTGGATCTAAAACCGGCTCCTCTTCGTCGAAGGAATAGACATCTACAAAAGCAGAGAGAAAAAAAAACATAATGAGCCCCAGCATCAAATGTTATCCCTTCTCTTTGTTTACCAACATTGCACTCTCAGTGCAGGGCTGTCTGTGCAAAATGCCTTGTTCATATTCTCCAAGTTTGGTTCTGGCCATCCACAGTAAATATCTGAACACAAGCACCTCAAGCACTTCTCCTCACAAGGAATTAAATGCCTCCACGGTACTAAAATCTAAAAATATTGATGGGGTTCACGGTATTTCCCCTCTCCAAAATAAAAAATTTGTAAGGAAAATAAGGAACAGGAAAATAAGTTTTCAGATGTGCGGCCAGTCTACATTTTGAACATGACAACAGGAGATTATAAATTTTTGTAGAGCTACTAGATACAGACAGACACAGCAAAGCTGAGAGTATTTTGCAAATAGTATTTTAATTTTTAGTACAGTGTAATAAATCCACTTTTGCCCCTTTCACACAGAGATGCAGGGAAAACAGAGAAAAGTATYAGAACAAAGAGGTGTTTTTTGGATWACACACCATTGGATTGACTTCCAWGATTAATCTCATCTTGTWCTTAGGGAGAAAGGCTGATGTTYTGAGTGAGGWGTCTYRCTTTGTTGTATGAGAGATCTAGATTTCAGTTCTCCATGTCAGGCCTTTATGGCTTTAGGTAAAAACCCACAAATGTTCTGGCAGGGCAAAGTTCAGATTGGGAAGGGAAGCAGTCTAATGATGATATTTTCAATGTGAAACCAAAAAGTTTAACAAAATCCAACAGAAGGACCGAAGAGTTGAGAGTAAAAACCTTCTTTATTTTAGAGCTTACCTAGCAAGTCCCCTAATGACACTGAGTTCAGAGCAGGTTTCACCAGCTTGAGGAAATCACAACAAAGCTGCAGGCATCATAAAAGGATTGGGGTGATAAGACAGACTCTTGAACAGGCCTTCCACCTTTTCTCTGCTCAGGTCACTACCTCTGCAGTCAATGACCATTCCCTGCTTTGTGTCTCCTCACACCAAAATCCAGAATCCCTGTGCCAGTCTCCCTGCATTTCCTCAGGCAAGCTTCCCTCCTGCCCAGCAGCTTCTCACAGTGACCAGATCCAGGCTGACAGAGAAAGCTCAGCCAGGAGAAAGGAACACACTCAGGAGGAGACAGCAGGAGCACGGATGAAGGCTGCTCACAGTAAAATGTCACTTCAGAGAGGACCTTGCCCTGCAGACCCTGCTCTGAACTCAGCCCATCCCCTTCAACAAGAGCCATTCCCCTTGAGGTCTGCTAGCCCCAAACCCACATTGAAATAACAGACTGAAGGTTCGCCAAGAACTCAAATTCTAACTTTTAACATTGACCAGCCCTATGAGAAAACCTCTGAGAGCAGGGAGCTGTGCTCTGAGCAGTGCTGCCAGCTGCTGAGCAGCCATCAGATGCCCCACTAACACTGGTGCCCGTGACCTCCCTGGCATGTGCATGGCTGGAGCTGCCCATCTGCTGGAATTCCACCCTGYGGTGGCCAATGCATCCCAGGAGACMTGAACTGTTCATCCACACACACGACATCACATTCCCAAATTATTCTGGTGAGCTCACAGCACTGCCAGAAGATCCTGAAAAGTTCAAACCCCTGATGGAGTGAGATTAGACAGCAACTGAGCTTGGGTGGCTGCTTCCAGCGTGGAAGCTTTGGATGTTGTTTTCCCTCTGCTCTGACAACTGCAGAGAGCAAATCATCCGGGACTACCAACCCAGAGCAGCAGAAATGGAACACGAGATTAATGCTTTGCTCATGCCATGCTTCAGTACTTTCTGCTGTGTAACTGAAAGGGAGAAAGAGAGAATTCACTTGTTTCCAAAAATCAAGAAGGTAAGAGCTGWCAAACAGGCCTGCAGTGCTGTCACACAGACTCTGGTGGATGAGGAATGCACACAGGTCAGCAAATGTGACACACAAGGACCTGGTGTCATCCGAGTGAGAAAGGGGGAAAGGGAGGAGTGGAAGCAGGGGGAAAACCCACCAAGAWAAATCTGAGACAAACAGAATGTTAYCAAACAGAAAACAATCACAGAYTATGYTGAGTTGGAAGGGACCCATCAGTATCAYCCAGTCCAAMCTCTGGCTTTGTGCAGGACAAAGAAYCCCACCATGGGATCTTCCACGGCTCAAGATTTACACCTGGACTTTTTTTTTTCTGGCTGTGTAGACATCTCTCCATCCTACTCAGAGGCTAACAGGCAATGGTAACACTGCCCCTAAACAAAGAAGTGACTCAGGATCCCCCCAAAAGTACCTGGCAATTGCTAAATTACCATCCACAAGGCAATTCGTTCAAGCTCCGCTCACATGGGGTTTCCCACTGCCAATGCCCCATTCCATGCCTCAATCTGTTCCCAAAGCAGCACCTCCCAGTGATTAGAAAYAAAATCTAGTGGTGCTGTGAAAAGAGGCAGCAGGTAGCACAGTCTGCCCAGTGCTCAGCCCACTGAACCAAACAACTTTTCTGTCTCTCTGGTGCATCCTGTCCAWGGCACAAGAGTGGAGGGGAAGCTTGGTTCAATTCCTGCCCTGATCCCAGAYTGTCTGCTGACAGAATGCTACAAAATGGGGCCAATGCCTCAGAAACCTCTCAGAATGCCCACAGCACAGATTTCCAGGGCAAGACAAAGAGTTTTCCTCTGTGCACACRCAGGGTGAGTGTCAGTGGAACGCTGGCATCACCTCTTTCTCCTTCCTCGTGGTGTGAAAAAGGAATAAATTATGTCAGGACAGGGACAAGTGCTTATTACTGCTCCACCATCACCTCTTCACCTCTAACCCAGGGAAGCAGAAAACAGATTCAGTGTCACATTCAGCCACAGAGCCCCTTTCCTGGAGCTCATCTATCACCCAGCCCTACCAAGGGGTTATGAGCACCACAGCAATACACATCAGAGGCAGAATGATTACTGAAAAGGAACAAGAAAGGTTGGGGGAGGGAAGATTTTTCTATGGGGAAACCAAGTAAACATCATGGAGAAGAACAAAGGTCTGTGGAGAACAGCTGGTGCCTCTCATGAGAGGGAAGGATGACAGCCTGTCCTTTGTTATCCCAAAGGCCACAGAAGAGAGGAAGCAGCTGATCAGTGGGAGGCACAAGGACAGAAGCCATAAGGAAACCAGTATTGCTGCTAAAGATGGGAAAGAAAAGAAAAAAAAATCTGTAGAAAATCACTACAGAATATCCTGTTTATTTTTTGGATGCAGTTGAAACCTGCTGCTGGGCAAATCCTAAACACYTTCAATAACGGAGAGATTTGGATAGAAATCACCCAAGACCAGGCTTGTGAAAGGAAATAACATTCCATCTGGGAGAGAAAAAAATGGATTTTGTTTAGGTTTTTGTGGCACAGCTGGGTGAATCTGACTACAGTTGCCTTTTCTCAACACTGAATAGGACTTAGAAAAACTCTAAACTGATGATTGTTTAAAAAAAAGGGCTGCCCTAAACAGCAAATTTCATCTCTGTAGTCATAAGCACTAAAGCCAAAATAAAATCATCCCATGTGTTCTTCCAATTTTACTTCTCTGTGCAGCTGCAACAAAAGATCTCTTTGCTTATGACTTTTTCAGCTCATGTTTTTATTCTGTCTAATCCTCACACACCATAATCCCCTCYGCAGCAGCACTGCAGAACATCACACTTGGAGAATATGCAAACAAGGATAYAGCTACAGCTTTTCTCCTCCTCTCAAAATCATCACACATTTTACAAATGAGCATCACAGCAGTCCCATGAAGATGAGTGTTCATTAGACTGTTGCAGAAACATTTTGTTCAACAAGGAAAAAGAGCAGTTTCCACTATGATTAAAAAAGTCATACATGCTGTAACAAACAAGACTTTTAAATTTCAAAAGCTCATTACCCTGTTGTTTTTTTGTTAGGGAAATTTGAACCATTTKCCCTAGAAAGTGTAGCAGAACTAAAAAATATTGTTTCTCCACATTCTGTTGTTTCAAGCTAATCTTATTCTTCTGTTACACGCCTAGTATTATACAAATGCCCCAAAAATATTTATACAAAATCAAAAAAAAAATGAGCAGATAAACCAGGTATGGGCTTTCTCAGAATAGAGTGTGTGTYATTCCCCCAACCCTGATCAGCACTCACAGACCCACAGGGTTTCCTTTCCGTATCACACTCTCAGACATTCGCAGCAGAAGCACAAACCCAGCTGGTGACACACMCATGACAAAAAGGTGCCTCAATTCAGAACGTGCCTGCTCCATCAGGAGTGATGGTTCCCAGTTTCACTGCCAGGGGATATCCTGTCTCCTTGTAGTGCTCCATGGCGTGCCCATTGCCCCCACTGCCATCAAAGAACCATTTCCCGCAGAGCACCGAGCCGTCCGTCAGGTTCAGCCACAGGTTCTCCCGCAGGTCACACTTGGAGCATTTCCAGCCACTGCCAGAGGAAACAGGGACAAACAGCAGCAATGGGTGAGGCAGGAGCCAGTCCTGTCCTTCCCACCATGGCAGATCAAACCAAGCCCCAGAGCCAGCCCCGAGTCACGGCACAGAACCCTGGGCTGGGTTTGTGCCCTCAGTTTGCTGACCCTGGGCTGAATGAGAGAGCCCCCAGTGAACAAAGCTCTCTGCCCTCACCTGGGGGGGATTCTAACACCATTGTCTAACTGCACAAGTGTTTTGGCATGTTTAGAAGCCTGTAGCTCTTCCTCCCAGGAGTCAGGTTCCTGCTTCCTGTAGGGTGATTTTGCACCGAGGAGCGCATCACAGGCTATCGTCACCTGCAAGACAAATGTGTGTCAGTCCAAGCCCTGCACGACTCAGGGACTGCCCAGAATTTGGCATTCAGCCTATTGCTAACCACATRCAGAACTGCTTATCAGTGGCACTATTTATACACTCAAATATGCATCTAATCTTTCAGCCTGTCGTCATTATTTTAGCAGGAGAGTAGGCACATGTACWGCGTGAGCTTTCCCAGGGCAAGCTGGCACCGTAATAAGGGAAAGAATACAGGAGATTAAAAGAAATCCAGGCAAAAAAAAAATACAAAGATGACTTCTAAAAATGACTGGCAATCTAGTACAGCTGTTTCAGAAAGATCTGTATGTCCAAACAAGCAGCACTCATAAGAAAACAAGGCACTAACATGATAAAAACAGTAACAGGAAAAAATTCCTATGACCACTTCCTCACACTCACTGACCAGTGCTGGGAGCTCTTCTATATTGGGCAATGAGATTTCATAGTGATCCGGAAATATAACAAGTTTTGCTTCATCTTCATATTCAAAGTCATCACTGTTGAGGTCACTGCTTGTCTCTAGGTCTGGAAAACAAGATGAGGAGTGTTAGGAGATTGTCCCACGAGCAAGGTACCAAAACTGGGCCAGGGGTGCCCCTACAAACACTGCCTGCCTGGCATCAGCCAGTGGTTTCTTCTGGCTAGAAATATGTGTGCAATCCTGATCTAAACTGAAAYCTCACCATCCTGCAGGAGAATGCTCTGAGGACCAAAATTTCCACTTGATGTCATCCCAAATCATAGACACAATTGGTCTGGCCTCTCTCCAAGCAGTGACACTGCATTCTGCAAAGCAGCTAACAAAATTCTGCTCCTTTTGGACAAAATCAGGATGCAATACTGGTGTGTTTTTTACCCACTAACAGCACAGAGAACAGGTTTCACTGCACATGCCCAAATGGCAGGGCACTGATAAAAGGAGCACCCCATATTTTCCAGATGACAGACCTGGCTGAAACGTGCTGTGGCTCCCATCCATGCTGAACCTGTGGCCTCTCTTCCCATAAAGATGTCCATGGCTGGAAGCATTCCTGTGTCTCTCCATGAACTCAAATAGCTACAGCAAGTACAGTAACACCAACAATATCCCTCTCTTGCTAACTCCACTCCTTGACCTGTCTAACCATCTGTTTAAAAAGCACTCATTAACTACTAAAGATTTCCTTYTCAAGATCAAGCCTTCCACAGTGCTCTGTACATTTTTCTTGCAGTGTAGAAAAGACTTCTTTTCTTAAATATGAGCCTTGACCAAGCAACATCAGCTAAAATGCTTGCCCAGAAATCTGTGGACTCAGAGAGAAGCAGGAGCRTATATCAAGAGCTAAATGGCTTGTGTTTGTATCTCTAGCTTCATGAAAAAATATAATTATTAATTAATATCATTATCACATAGTGACAAGACTGAGTTAAAATCTTATTCTGCTCTTCCCAGGACAAATGAGAAAGTCAAGACCAAACATGTGTGTGCCAGAAATGTCACATGATTCAACTGCAAGAATTGCCCAGGCAATTATGGGATTTTCTGGATGCTTCTCCCATCTGGAGATGTGGGATCCACTGTATTCTGATGTACCAGACACTRACAGAGCAAGGTTCAACCAAAAGAAGAGAATGTATTAGCAGTAGCCAAAGCTGGCTCTTCATTTCCCCCCTGTGCATGCAGATGCTTAATGAGCCACTCGATCCCAAACAAGCACTGGCAGCAACCCCTGCACCCTGGGAATGCCTGAAATCTCAAATGTGTGTYTGGGACAGAGGTGAGGATGACAGAACCCAGATTCAGAAAACCGAGCTCTCWATTTACCCAGCAGGCAGTAACAGCCTGAACAACCCAAATGATAAAACAAGTACCAAAATATATTTCAACTTGACCTGGAAAGGACACCTCTTGAGAAGAACATCAATTCTTGGCTCAACTGCTGCACCAGCCAGCCCTGGTGACAAAACCCACTGTCAGTGGCTTCCAGCAGCATGACCTCTMYCTCAGCAGCAGCMAGCAAAAAYCCTTTCTCATCAGYTCAACACAGACACAAAAGCAAGAAYGTTTTCTCATAYGGAAAGCATGACATTTTCAGAGAAAGTAGAAATTCATTACTRATTCCCCAAATCACTCTTTTCACAATGATCCCTTCCCTTTCTGCTGCATACAGAGATGACCAGAGACCTCACTTTACTCCAGGCTCCCCTCCCTTGTCACAGCCCTGTGTTTGATAAAGGAGTGAATCTCCACAGATGCAGTTTGTGACAGCTCTTCTGCTCCGTGGGACAAGGACACCGAGCATCTCCGAGCTGATGGAGCCCACGGCAACGCATCACAGGGAATTCTCAAAGCCCAGAAATGTGATGGTGGCCAGCATAACAAAACCACAACTGACCATCTCCTGAACAGGAGAGAGGTTCCTCAGAAAGGATAAAATCTCGGTGTGTGTGGTCACACAGTGCCTCAGCCAGCAGAGGGAACCTGGCACCAGCTCACAGCAGCATTTGGGGACASGCTGGCATCCTCACTGCCCTGGGGAGTGACATCAAGCTGACAGCACCTGCAATCCCCTATAGAAACAGCSATAACACGGTTGCTGTGCTCAGAATTCAGACACTGCAGCTCCTCTCCCCAGCCTGAGAGACTCCCCTGCTGCTGGCCTGACCTGCAGCTGAACCAGGATCTGGGGATGAGGGACCCAGGATCCTATTAGCAATCCTCTGCTGTCATCTGGGGACTCCACATGCTCGGCAGCATCAGCCTCCTGCACGCAGGRAAGGGAATTTCCTTTTCACCTTCTCAGGCTTTGTGCCATTCGTGTGCAGAGAAGCAGGRAAAATGTCCCATCAGCATGGGACTCCTTCTGCTTGACATGCCAATATCATCATCCCATTTCTTGTTAAAGAAGAACACACAAAGCTTAATAACAGCCCTGGGAAACACCTTGAGGATTTCAAATTCCCCTTTTGAAGGTGATCACGTAAAGCTGGTACACTTCTACTTTTAATGGGAATTAAAAATGACTGCCTTATCACTTTAAAACAGTTTCTCAGGGTCCAGACCCAGCACACAAGAGTGCAATGGACCTCTAAAGTCACTGACAGAAATCCCTCCATACAGCAGATGACCATACAAACCAGGCCCTTTTGGTGACCATCAGAGAGACCCCTTAATGATGCCAAAAACACMCAAATCACCACTCACATTTGTAAATCTTGGCTTGTGTGTGCTGAGACACAGCTGTTTAGTAAGAAGTTCTACCTGCATTATATTTTCTGTGCCTGTGCATGGGCCAGCATGGCTGAGAAAGCATGGGGATAGAAATAATAAAAACAGGTGACTATTAATTTAGAAGACAATGCAGCCCACAGTAAATGCAGGCAGAATTTGACCCTGGAGCCACTGGGCACCATGTGCAGTCTGCAGGTAATTTCAAATGAGCGCAGGATTTTAGAGAAGAATAGAGAGGAAGCAACCATTGGACCGAGGAGAAGGGTGAAATCTTCATGCAAAGGGAGCGCATTTGATTAAAATTACATGAGTATTAAAGGCACTGAAAAGGATGGATTTTCAAGCACTATACTTCATCCAAGGCTGATTCTTGGCAAAGAACCTGTAAGTAACAGATGAAAAAAAAGGCTTTACTCAGTTCTAAAAGCCACAAGACAACCAGCCAGTTCGTAATCTTTTCAAGGAGTGGCAGCCTGAYAGTCCATGCCCTCCTAGTGGAGTAACATCTTTCTGGTGCCCCCTGAGAGCTCCAATTAAATCCTGGAGTTAAAGCACCAAAACCAAGTATCCACAGGTTTTAAACGTGTTTGGGAGGCCAGGGGGCAAAGCAAAGCACCAGACACCTGAAAGCAGGGGCTCAAGTGGCGCTGTTATTTTGGGTGAGTGCTCAGTGCAGTGAATTTTCTGCGGATCCTGAGGTGTCACTCAGTGATGGTGAGAAAGGCACCACTGCTGAGCTGACTGAGAACAGCAGCTGCAAGGGACACTACTGTAATGGAAACCAAGCCAGCACAGGGGAAGAGGAGGCGTGGAAGTGTCCAGAGCAGATTTAGACAAGTTACCAACTGACTGCTCTAATAATAGGGGCACAAGGAGACTCCAGACAGGACCCCCAAACAGGATTTCCTGAGCACATGGATGYGTCTGTGTGTGTGTGAAAGGGAATACAAACACGAAAATTGGAGGAGGATGCTGACTAGAGAGTCTACAACTAATTTTGAAACCCCAGAAAGACATCTTAGGAATCTGGGCTTGATCCTGCTCTCGATGAAAGCAATSGACAAATTTGTATTGACCTGGAAGTGCAGGCCTGAGTATTTAAATTAAATTATTTTTTCTTCCTGAAGCCTCTAAATAATGGTGAATTGCAGCACCAGCACTTTGCAAACTATAAGCCACTCAGTTCATTTATTTTCAGACACATTGAAAATATTAACTTTATCAGATGAACTATAAAAAAAGAAATTTTTTTAATAAAAAAATTACTTTCCAGTCACAACGTTTTCCTTTGCAGAAAAATGAAGAGCAAAACTTTCTACAAGGATCATTTGGATGATTCACGACTGTAAAATAACATTCAGATTGCTTGCTAAATCCCCAAAGCATTTTTATGTTGTTCCTATTGCCAGGTAAGACCTCACCCCTTGCATTTCTGGCACAGTCACATGTTAAACAAGCAAAACTAAACCACCAAAATTCAAATGCTGAACTGTTTTGATGTCAACATTAGCCTGTGTTAATCTAGTCTAATTTTCACAGTTCTACCTAAACCAGCAAACTGTTAAGCCTCTGTCAGTGTCTCTGCTCACCATTCAAGCACACATGGCAAAGCTAAAAAGCAGCAGCTGATCAGTTCCACTGCCACTGCTGGGGAATATGCACAATTTTACTGGGCTTAATTTGTACAAATTTATTGTACAAATAGTGTCAGGAAATGCTTAATTWYWMCTACATCACAACTTTTCATTCASAGATATGGATACYCTRTACGTGCTAGCTCACATAAACTTCAACCACTCATGAGATGCTCAGGAAGAGGGCATCAAAAYCAGGCAAAAATGTTSAAYTCAAAAGCTCTCAATTCAGAGCTTCTAGCTCCCAAATATCTACCTGGGGTGGTGCTTGCTGGGGGTGAGGGGAAATGGTGTATTCTAGTTGGTTWTGGAGAAAGAACAGGGGGAGATTCTGTGAGCAAATGCAGTTTCTCTRTTCAAAAGAGGGGTTCGCTTCCTAATTAGAAAGAAAAATGACAGAGAACAAAACAAAGCATTGCTTTTCTCGTGTTCCACTTCAATCTCCCACACTGCTGACAAGTGAGCTGACATTTCAGAGAATCCTTCAGCCCATCTCTCCCTCAGGGCCACCTCTCTGAGCAGTAACAGGTAACTGGGACCACACAAAGCACCTCTCCTGTCTTCTTCACATCTTTCAGCTACTTCTTCTCTTGTTTAGTTACTCAGTAGCACCTCAAAAATCACTTTTACATTTAATCTCTTAGAAAATTTAAAAYCAACCAGCAAACTCAATTTCTTCATTTTTTCAATCCCTTTCCAGACCACTTACAATTGCATTAATTCTTCAAAATTAGCACATTCTGAAGGRCTCTGCTGATAAGCCCTGAAGTAACACACCCAGGGGGAGTCTGATGGTAACTCTGTGGTAAGAACTAGATCTCCAATCCCTTCAGGACAAGAATCTTCCCCCTAATTCTGCTATCCCTTTTGACCAGGAGCTCATAAGAAAGATCACAGTACATCCCATTAACTGAGTTTTCCTTATTCACACATAAGGCACTGAATAAAACAGAAATTTAAATACCACCCCAAATCCCCTGAAACCTTGCACAGCCTGAGCTGAAGCTGTCACCTCCACAGTATCCAGGACCACCTAAACCAGTCCATAATTCCACAAACAATGCTGTTTGGCCTCCTGACTACAAAAAACACTCACAAACAACACCCTCCAGCCTTCTCCAAAAAAATCAAACCCAAATGTGCCCAAAACCCAATACACAGGTGAACGTGCACACACATTTTGCTGTGAATCTTCCCAATTTTTGGGAAAGATAAATCTTGCAGCAGACTGGCCCAAACAGCCTGTGTTTCTATTGCCTTTACTAGACAGCAGCAGGACTAGAAAGTAATCAGAGAGCATCCAAAAGATGTTTTCCTAATACTAAGGAGATTGAAAAGGGTTTAGTATCTTTARTAGTTTTACATCAAAGAGGATTATAACAAGCAATGTAACAAATGCCCAAACTGGATTGACTTTGTACACAGAGCTTAAATCTCTGGGCCTTCAGGGAATCATTGATAGGCACCCAGGAATACAGGGGTCTGTATCAGCCTGGAGAAATTACCCACAAATGAGCCAAAAATGTGCCCCTGGGTCCTCTAGGAAGGACACTGGTGTCCTGGRGGCATTCCTGTTTAGATGGAAGAGGGTACTTCAGCAGCTCTGAACCAATGACAAAGATGTTGGATTRAGAGATGAGACACCAAATTTTGCWAACCACCTCTGCTGCTGYCACATGCAAAGTGATGAATTCAGCTGAGCTCTCTGTGCTTTCATTTCCTCAGCTGTGAACATACAGGAATGATTCTTTGTTCTTTGCTTTGAGCATGGCCAAAATCTGTAATTTCTGCTGATCTAAAGGAGTGGATACAAAGCACTTGGAGGCATGGAAGTGCTGTCTCCAGGATCAGAGCAGATTTGATTTCAGTTCACTCCCAGCCAGCAGGGGCTGCAGTGAAGGCTGTGGTAGAACAATAGAGCAGAGGAGACACATTTTCAAAAGTGCATCAGATTCCAGCAGTGCTGGATTGAATGGTGATAGATCCATGCCCTAAACCCAGCCCAGTAAAACTGCACTGCCCTCAGGAGCTCCCCTGGAACTGCTGCTCAAGAACCACTGAGAGGGGACAAAATGGAATTGGGAAGGGTGGAATTGGGAGGGTTCAACAGGGCACAGCAGAAACACCAAACCAGTCCCACAACAGGAGCCTTCAGGTGTATGCACAAGACCAGCAAGAATAAAATTTCAATGTTTTTTTTGTACTTTGCACTTACACTCACATTTCTAATGCTGCACAACTACTGCTGCATTGCAGCCAGCTTTGTTTCTGAACTAATTATTTCAAAGCATCCAGTGACAATCAGGATTTTCAACGTAAATGGCATTTAGATGACCACATGTCTACTCCTACAAAAGAAGTTTAATTTTTTTATGACTCATTTTCAGACTTCTTTCTTAGCTCTCCTTGCAAAACTTATATTAACAACAACAATTTAATCAATCACAGTCTGCAAAGGCCTCTTAGGGACACATTCCACAGATCAAAGCAACTCCAACAGAAGGTCACTCTATTGTTTCCCTTTAGCCATAAGAGCTGGCAATTGCAAAGAAAACATTTCACCTCTTTGTTACCTGAAGAAAAATTCACTATTCACGATTAATACAGAGAGAATAAATAATAGATGAATTGGAGAAATACCACAAGCTGTGGGAGAAGAGCTTTTCATCACATTCTCCTCATCCATATTTAYGAGTCCCTCAGGTTTTCTGGGTAATCTGAATAAATGGATTTTGGACGATATGGGCATGATAAGGAAACTGCTTTCCATGRGGCAAGGGAATATAACTGTGGACATCACAGAATTAGAGATGCTCGTGATATATGTGCAGCTGTACTCATTGCAGGAGAGACCACAGCATCACTGAAGAACATTTACCTGTGTAACAACCTTAAAATAGTCACAACCCTTCCTGTGACCAGCTGCTGGGCAGAACAGAGCCACACTGAGGCCCTGAGATATCTAAATTTTAAGTATGGATAAACACTTCAATAAAAGAATGCTTTGTGGAAATCACAGAGAGAAGAATGGACAGAATCAGTAAAAAATGCCTTTCAAAGCCTAGGCTGCTTCAGAGTAGCTGAGGATCTAGTTTACATTAAAATGTTTCATGTATATATACACACATCTCTCAATATGCACCAAAATGGTTAAGAATTACTTATTTGCCTGGAAAAACGTTAATATCTAGAACCAGCTGTTAAAAAGAAAACCAAAACAAACAGCAGGGAAAGAAAACCCAAAAGGAGCCCCAGTGCCAGACACAATGGTGGGCAGAACCCAACACACAGACAGGGTCAGAAAAGGATTGTGTGAAAGCAGCTGCTCACAATACCTAAAAATAGCTTAGCAYTCCTCCTTTTTGGTAAAGCTCCACCAGATGCTCCTGGTACCTTCTGGAAAGAGAGAAAGAAACAATTAAAAATCCATCAAGGGAAACAACAGCAAATCAGCATTAACCCCTCCTGTGAAATCACCGTCCCTGATGAGTGAGAATGCAAATGTTCTTTGCTCACCTCCAACACTGGGACCTGAATCCCCACTGCCCAGCACCCCCAGAGAGTGAGRAACTTCCACCTGAGTCCTTCACTCTTGGCTCCTTTGCAATCAATCTCACAGCCACCATGGGTGACAGCTGCTCTGCCACCACAACAGGGACACCCAGCACCTCCCAAACCTCCCCACTGGACCCCCAACAGCATTTCCTAATGGCTAAAGCTGAAGTAGAGAGAAGAAAAGGRTTATTATGTGTTCAGGATATAATACTGAACTCAATAAAACTCAATAATAACTCAACCCTTCATAACTAATTCCACTTTGCTTTGATCTATTAGCTTGGTTCATTTCCTTCTGTCCAGAAAAAAATGCCCTTTCCACCAGGATCTACACCTGCTTCCATTAAGATGAACCCAAATTAATCCCATTTGTCTAAATATTAGAAAATATGGAGGAACTCAACAACATCCAAGCAATTGTTCAGTGCAGGTGCAGGTTTTACTGTAATTTTTAATTTAAGCTCCACATCAGAGAACAGTAACTTCCACGTGAGATTTTCACTGCTTTTCCAGTTCAGAATAACCCAGACTACAAGAGAAAACACAAGCAGCTGAGGAAATGTCAAAGTCAATGCACTTGCTCCTTAAGCTGTTTATTAAAYGGCACCATTAATTCAAATTAAATCCAAAAATCCTCTGTGGCTATTTGGTGCCAACACGATGCACGATGGAGTGTGTAATGTTAGTGTAACTGGCAAGGTTGTTAGGCAACTTTTTTTTTTGTTTTTTTTTTTTTAATAATAATATTGGGATAGAACAGGTGGAGAGAGAAAAGCCAAGAACCTGTCAGCCTACAGGGAAAGTTCATGTTCGCCTCTGCCCCTTCRCAGGCAAAAGGGTCACATATTTTGGGTGGTTCCCTTCACCATGTAAATAAAGCTTTGGCCTAAGCAAACTGCTTTAATCATCAGTGAGGTCTTATACATCGTAGGAAAATGTTCCATTCTTAGAAAGAGCAGATGCAAACAAACACCCCTTGAACAGAATCCATTATCCACATATAAAAGCCCTAGGGAAAAGAGTCAGGGTTGCAACTCCAGCAGCTAAAAATAAAAATTCCTCAATGAAGTGAAAATAACATGCAGAAAATTTCTTTCTTTAATGCTACTGGAATTTAAAAAGTGGGAAGGAAGTAGCCAGGAATCTATTTTAAATGTATTTAAAATCTTTTTTTAAAAGCAGCAGCAAGAAACAGCATAACCCAATTGCAAATACATTATGAATAAATTACACATACTCCAAGGACTATAGTTTCAGAACGAAAAAAAAAAAAGGTTTATTCCAATACTGGGAAGCTCCAATTGAATTCTGATGCCACCAAGTGCAGTATTGTGGAAGTCATTAAGACTGGAGATTTCAGAGAGAAAGAATTCACAATGGAGTGTTTATATTTAACTCAGGCTGCCAATGATTTCAGTTTGATTTTCCAAATACAGACACCTCAGAACTGAAGATGCTCAATACTCCTAAAAAACCCACAACCTGACAGGAATCTTTTTACCTTGTCAGGAATCACTGAAAACATTCCCCATTCACAAAGCCACTTTTTGTTTGTACCAGATGTGACACGCCCAGTGACACAAGGCATCAGCAGAGGCATTAAATTCCATTTGTGATGCTCCTTGGACAAGGTGACAGCACAGCCTGTTCTGCTTTCTCCCATTTTTTATAGCACCACCAACCCTGGAAAACATCCAAGAACCCATCCCTGTCGGAAATCTTTGTGCTTCTCTGCCCAGTGCTTTCAGCAGGGCTGAGTTTATCACTACAGCACCAAGCTAAAGCTCTGCCTGGAGATGAGCAGTGCCCAAGTCATGCACCACAGAAAAGGAGGYTGATTTTAAAATTCTGAAGAACGTAGCTCTGTGGAAAAGGAAAAATAACAACAAATTTCCTTTATTTAGCTAAGAATTTGASCAAAGGGTGCTCTGTAACTTGCACTTGTGCTCATTTCTGATGGTTCAGCAGATGCCTCTGGTGCTGAGCTGCCACTGAGAGAAGCTCCAGCTCTGCCTGAGCCAACAGGGTGAAGGTCTGACCCTTATTTTCTGACTGAATTGTGACAAGATACACAACTGATCTTTATCCCAAACATCTTGGGAAGCRACATGGGATTTCTGCAGCAATGCAGTGCATTCTGCAAGGAGGGTGCCAAGGGGACCACGGGCAGGAATAGCARCCTCACTACAAGAATCTTAAGATAGCATTGGCTTTACTGTATCCTGCACCATTAAAAGCTTGGCTTCCAAAACCAAAACCACAATGGAGCACGTGCCAGACACTTCATAAAACACTTGATGTTTTGCATTGCTCAAAGGAAAACACGGACTGCACTTAAGAAGCAAATAGTCATGGCAAAAAAAAAAGAAATCCACAGCTAACAGATGAGGAATCCTGGCTATGAGCCCTASCAGATGAGGCAATATTCACCTGCACTGTGCAGTCAGACCCTGTTTCCTGCCACATGACACAGGGCACCTTCAGCACACAGCCTAATTTTTATCAGGAAAGGAGTTTTTGAGTCTCATTTTAATCCCAGTTTACCTTAACATACTGAAAGAAAGTTATATACAAGGAAAGCTGACAGGATTCCTGCCCACCTATCTCTTGATRGCATCTTTCAGGAATGTTAAATTCAATCAGAACTGTTGCTAAAACCAGAGTAGTGTCTCCAAAAACTTTCAAGATGCCAGACAAACCACAAACAGAGGTTATGAAGCACAGATTCCAAGTGACTTCAGTGATATTCACTCCAAGTGACTTCCAAGTGATATTCAGKGAAGAGCAGTGAACATGAAGTTTGTATGTGCACATCCACGTGTGGAGAAAAGCTAAATAAAGAGCAGTGTGTGACTCTACAACCCAGCATTTAATTTAAGCTTAAGATCCCAGGCCAGGTGAAGGTTTATCTGTACAGGAATCTTAGGATGGGAAATAGACCTGTCATTCTGAGATGAAATCTCAAAAAATATATCTCAGAAGCTTACAGCTGACTTTCAGGAAAGTATTTAGCCATGTACAGGATGCACAAAACATGCAGACAATATGTATGTGATACACAGAAAGGAGAAGTGAAAAAGGTCAGTGAAAGTCAGGAAGGAGCTGCCTTTAAGATCTGACTCTTTAGTCAGATGTTAAATCTTGCTTGGATGAATCTGATACCAAGCCAAGGTCTGAATATGTTCATTTAAGTCGTTCAGGACTTGGTCTGAAATCCATTACCCAATGAGCACAAAGACCCAAGAAGTGCCAGGTGGTTTTTTGGGAGCCCCCGCCTCACCTCTGTGATGTGCCGTTTCAGGTGCAGGTAGACACACTGTCCTGTTTTCCGGTAATGCCTCTCGATGTGCTCCCTTCCAAACCCCAGAAACGTGTTCATGCACACGTAGAGACCTCCTTCTGAATCCTGCAGGGAATGACACAGCCAGTTACAGCAGGGAAGGGACTGAAAGGACCCAGCACTCAGAAAAAAAACCCCAAAGAATTGCAGACAATTTCTGTTATCGGGTACGCACTTAAAATACGGCTTTTATAGCACATCATGGTGTTTGCATTATCAGTCCTGTAAGAAACTTCCACACCATATCACATATCACATCACATCACTGCACAGCCTGTAGAAACTCTTTCAAACAGTTTGCATTGCCACAGATTAGTGAGTACCCAAACTCACAGAAGTCTAGAAATTTTTCTTGAAAAATTCTGCTTGAGTGTCCAATCCACAGAGATTTGTMGGCACAGAAATTTGTAAAGCACAGAAATAAGAACAAACATTTATTCGAAACAGCAGAATTTCTAGTGGCCATTTGACTGCAAGAATATCCTTCCAAATCAGAACCATGGCAGAGCTGATGGTCCAGGGATTCTGCCACAACTTCTGCAATTGATCACAATCTTGTCTGAGAAAAAAAAGATCTCAAGTGACCTCACAGCTCATAAAAGAGGCTCACAAAGAACTGGCAAGTGTTTTGTGTGTATTCTGCAGTATCTGTCAAGGATTCTCTCCATTCATGCAACTCCAGGGCTTGGAGGCAAGGGCATTACAAAGGAAATACAAAGATTTATACACCTGGTGCTGATCACAAATGCTGGCATTTCAGTAACATAACCTGGCATCACTTTTCGCTCTCCCTAAAGCCCTTGATGCTGGCTGTAACCAGGGTCTTTTTCGATTTTAACACCACTCTGGGATCTCTCCTGCATCAGCCTGCCAGGARGACTTTCAGTCATCTGCTCATTGGTGTTGGATCATTTTTTTCAAGCCCTCTAACACGTATTGTTTTGAGTAGGTGGTGCATAACAAAGAYTGAGCCTTTCAGAGGCTCTGTGACCTTCCTCCCATTGTGAGCATGTTTGTGCTCAGAACCTCTGTTAAATTCCCTAAAGAAAAAYGTGAACTAAACTCATTCACAGGCACCTCAGAAGTAAATTATAAATATATAAATACATATATAAAAGCAAGGACCATTATCTCCAGAAACAAATCATGTTAGACACACACATGCTGCCCCTGCTCTTCCATCCTGTATTCCAAATCCTTCTGCATGACCCCTTTCTGTGAGAAAGTCATGGATGTGTCCTCTACAAGAGGATCCTGTAGGTATCCAGTCTGAATAAAAATATACAGTGYTGTCATCCTAGGGTCTCAGGAACTTTGTTTAAAGTTTTGTTTTCTTGGAGATCATTCTCTCTTTTTCTGGAGGGAATCCAAGAGACCACTGAACCATTTCTGAGGCAGCCTATGACAACAATCTGACACTTTCAGTATAGGAGCTAAATGTAGAGTCTGAGTAAGTTGGTTGTGGTTACTAACAAAACAGTTGTTTCTCCTGGAGAACACAGGCAGAGTGTTCTCTCTGGAAAGAAGTGGACAGACTGTTCAAAAGCCTAAAAGGTCACAGTAAAACTGGGGCCAGTGTGAAAAAGACACCTTTGTAGATGGCTGAATAAAGGATTAGGCCCCTGTTTGGTGTCAGAAAACACCAGGCTGTGATCTAAGACAAACTCTGTGCTGGTTAATTCAACCCTACTGAGCAGACAAACAATCCTGGAAGGAATGATGTTTTACACAGTCTGTGGCATGTAAATCTTTGTATTTGACATTCATTTTAGGATATGGGTGAAAGTTTGTGCTGGAGGAAGGCAGCTTATCTAAAGTACTGGAGATACTATTTTACATCAGRAAAACATAACTTGTCCTATCAGGCAAAAACAGGAATGTTGGCTGGGTATTTTTCTCCCTCACTCTTGCTTGAGGATGTAGCAGATATGTAGAGTGACGTTTAGGATAAAGTAATGTACAAAAATTGTCTTCCCTCATTACTCCAATCTAAAGACATTGTTGGGGCAGAAGCTTTTACTTGCTCAGGCCTCCATCACTGCCCAGAAGGCYACTGGAGAGCAGATTGGTCTCCTCACCTTCCTCAGCTGCCATGTACTACTGGAARGGRTGAAAGACAAGAGAGATGGGAARRGAAGAGCTGGGTTGGGCAGAGAAAGAAAGGACAAATGAAATAAATTACAGGGCTTACAGTAACTGGACTGTTCACCTGAAGTGCAAAGAAGATCCCCTGCTCCTTCTTTCCAAAAATACAGTATGGCACTGGATAGCCCTGGATATTTCCCTATGAGCAAATTATTTCAGAAGTGCTTAACAAAGATTTCTGGTACCTCTGCTGTGGCCTCTAAATGGGCACATGGAGAAGGCCAGTCCASTACAGCACTTAGAACATTCCCTGGGAAGAAAAAAGCTGTGTGGGCCAGTCAGGGACTAAACCAAAACCAAAGGATGGACTGMTCASTCCTGTGMTGGGTAAATCWCAGGTGGACTCCAGGTAAGGCACASGAATTCCAGAGCAAGCCACAYGCACAGGAAGGATCAGGTTCAMRGCCAGTGAGCAAACACAATGGCAGAACCAATCCTGGGTCAGGAGCACTCCTCACCTGCAGCCAAAACAGGGCACTCCCAGCCATCCATCACCACTGCTGGGCTCAGCTTATGCAGGTGCAGATTGTGTGAGCCCCTGGTGAGGGCTCTAAAAGCCACCAGGGAGATTGCCAAATTCCAGCCCAGTCCTGCAGCCCCTGCAGGGTCACTGCACTGCTGCCACAGCAGCTGAGATTCAGGGATTTGGCTTTGTGCAGAGCCCAGGCTGCACAGTTCTGCTGGTCACAAAAACAGTGCTGTGCTTCCAGAACAGAGGAGATGGGGAGAAGAGAGGAAAACTTATGATTCCACAGGGATTCAGCAGAGTTCCAGCACTGTCCATTCATCTGCATCTCTGTATTTATCCCCTGACACTCCCCTCTACTCTGCTCCCTTCCATCAACAGAAACAAGATCCAAGCCTACCCCTCACAGACCCCTCCCTGGTCTTGGTGATTTTCTGATTTCCTTCAAGGAATACTGTACCAAAGGAACATCCAGACAGCAGCTGCTTATTTCTAGAATTTTTACACAACAGTCACTGATATCCATTACACACTCCCAGACTCTCAAGGATTTCAGTCTCAACTGCACAACAAACAGCAGAGCATCAGCTTAGTTCAGCCTTTGGGAATTGTCCCAACACAACCATTACAGAGTTCCCGAGCCACAGAAATGAAGTCAGCAAGATTCACAAAGGAAGCTGTTGTCAGCAGCAAGGTTTTCCAGCRGAGCAAAGCCAAACTTTCAGCTGCTCAAACAAACACAGCCCTGCACTCTACAGAGCCAGAGTGCCTGGTGCTGTCCCGTGTTGGGCTCCTGAGCTGGGCTGGGCTTGGGACCGATGCCCTTTGTGGGGAAGGTTTGGGAGCACATCCATGTGCCACATCCATAGCTCACATATAAACCCTTTTCACACTCCAGTTTGGATCCCTTTTCCAGCTGTTGTCTCTCCCCAGATGTGTCACTCTCATGACCAGTGACAGAACCTGAGAATGGCACAAAGCTGTGTCAGGGGAGGTTTAGGTTGGACATCAGGGAAAGGTTTTTCACCCAGAGGGGTGTTGAGCACTTGGACAGGCTCCTCAGAGAAGTGGCCACAGCCCCAACCTGGCAGACCTAAAGGATTTGTACAACACTCTCAGGCACATGGTGGGACTCTTGGGGTGTCCTGTGCAGGGCCAGGACTTGGATTTGATGATGTTCATGGGTCTCTTCCAACTCAGCACATTCTATGGCTCTGTAATTCTATGATAAATGATCAGAAGTCTTTGAGACCAGATTACATTACAAGGCGGAATTTCCAAAGCTGAGTGCTATACTTAAAAAAAAATAATAGCACAACAAAATATTATTTAATACAACCTTTATGTGTTCTGTGTTCTACTAAGACAAAGTCAGGCTCATCCATCAAAAGAGGAAATGAAGTCACAGAGGGCAAAGTAAGAGAGAAGAAAACTACAGCACAGAGTCAGATGTGGGAAGTCACCAGGAGGCAGGACTGCACCTCAGATCTGAATAATGAGAGGTGCAGGACTTTGCCAAACTGCAGGGAAGTGGCTCCCACAGCTGCTGGGTCAGTCCCTGCAGGAASCAAACCCAACACTAAGCCAGGCTTGTGCTTTGGGGGCAGCCTGCCTTCCCTCCTCTACAAAGGAATGGCTAGCTGGAGTAAGAACACTCATCAGAGAAACACAGAAACACAGAAGACACCAAAAAAACTTAGGTAATTAAAATTTAAGTCATAAAAAGGCCTATTTTCTCATCTTACGAGATAAACAAATCAAAAAGTGTCACTAGGTCTCTTAAGTGYACAGAAATTTGCCTCCTGTTCCTGCCAGCTTTCCAGGGACCAACCCCAGTATGTTCTGTTGAAAGAAGGCCAAATCAAAGGACATGAATTTCTCATCAGTTTTATGGTATTTCTAACAATACCACCTTTCCRACAAGATCACCATGCTACAGTTCATCCACGTGGAAAAAACACTCTAAATAACCACTTGTACTTGTCGCTCTCACTTCCGAAGCCTCTCAGCTAACAACTCTCATGGCAGCACAAAGGTGACATTGTTCTCAGATCTTCATTCAAGGAAGATTTAAAACTCATGGGAAAGGAACCTCGACCAGTTTTGAGAACCATCAGTGAAGCTGCCTGGAACATGCATTGCTCAAATCCAGACAAAATGACACAACTGACAGGGTGACAAACAGGGCAAAAGCCACGTCTCACTCCCACGTTCAGCTCTGCACAGCTGAAGATGGAGCTACTCACACCCAGTAATTCCTTTTCTTTGGCACCCCCTGACAGGAAAAGCTCTGATTTTGACCATTCCACTCTGCTTGGTCCTTGCAAATTTGCTGCAGCATCTCTCCCYACAGTAATAACATTACTTTATACCCTAACACTCACTGATGAGAGTGCATTTTAAAGATCACAACACATCCTCACAAGAAAAACATTAATATGCAATTAATACAGCTAATTAATACAGTGAGTGTAGAGCTGCTGCATGACCAGGTATGACACCTGCAGAAGTTAAACTGTCAAGTTTTGCACATTTAAAATGGCAAAATGAGAAGATGTGAGGAAATACTGAGAAATATTCTTACAAGGGAAAAAACCTCCCCCAGCAAAAATTCAGTCTGGAATTTTAGCATGGCTAACAAAACCAGGAGTGTGTTTTTTTTCAAATTCTTGAACTTTATAACAGGGCCAACAAACAGTGTCTTCTTTCAAAAAGAGGCAGGTACCTCAAGAGGAAGAGGCTCACTTAGGTAATACACAGATAATCTAAGAAAACAAGTTACAAAATCAACGTAATACAAAACATAAACATCTSCCTTTAGCCACACAACCTGTCTGTATCCTTTCACTTCCCTTCTGAATGAAAAACTGCAAAAACACAGCTTTTCAATTCAATTTTCAATTTGTAAATGACAATGGTTTACCCTAGAAAGCACATGTTACACTTGACCCTTAGAAACAACATCTGAGTATCTATTAGATTATATGGGAATTTAAAATAAAATCTGAGATAAATCTTTCACTCAGCTAAGCTGAGAAGTGGTATGGGCTGAAAAGCTGCGGGAAACGACACAAACTGAGACTACTTTTATTTTCACTGGTACTGCATAAGTTCAGYCAAGCCTTTTGCCCAGTGAATGCCCACAACACAATTTAAATAGGAAGTTTTTACMCTGGAGGGCAACATTTTCCAAAATCTGAAATCTGTTCCCAATAATATCAAAAGCATGAAAAAATAAAATCACACATGCTGCTTCCCAYTCCTTTTGCTACTTAAATCCATAGTTTCTGTTAAGTTTGGCTCAAACATTTTATGTTTTGTTCAAACATATTGTTTAGTTAAACACAGCTTTTGCTGTGTTCAGTTGAGGCTTGTTGCAGAGGGTGGTGATTGATTGTTTTTTAATCTGTAGCTGTATTTTATATCCCTTCCAACKTGTTAACAGAAACTTCTTATAAACCATAGTATGGAAAAGTGTTACTGAAAGTGTTACTAAAAACAAAACTATGTGTTCACCCAAGCAGAAACCTGAAGGAAAGAATGTGGTGTATTGATTTTCCCCCGCCAAAACCTTCTTAAGTGTATAATGCAATTATCGCCTGTGCGGTGGAGTCCGATTTGGCAGTTCTAATCAGCCCAGCTCCCAGTACAGTCAGGGCTGCTGGGTGACACTTGAGAGCTGAAGAGTGAGGGTAAAAATAACCTCTGTTCAACAAGACATGACGAACACCAGACAGCTGAGTCACCTTTAAAACCAACTCTGATTTTCTGTATTACGAGGAATTATCAAAGAGAGGGGGGATTATCAAATAGGAGGGGATAAAAGATTCCACAAATGGGYCTGAAATGTATTTTTCTCTGAATGTCCTGTAGTGAACTTCCTTTTGATTGCTGCCATTGACATTAACATCAACACAGAGAGCTCAATCACCTTTGGGAAACCTCAGCTTCCTGTGGAGAAGCAACTTCTAATACAATTTCACCTCTGAGGAAAAAGTCTGATTTCTAAGCACCTGTTTCTTACAAAGCACTGCCCATTTATGAAGSCTTCCAGTATTACCAGTGAAGTTAAAAATGAGTCAGGCCCCAAATCTGCCAGGACACACATGCAAACTGTGGAGCTGGTGGATGTTTTGTAAGACACCAYAGAAAGAACACCTCAGAAAGTTTACTGCTCACGAAACATTCACCTAACAAACAAACGAACCAAGCTAGTGGGGAATACTACAAGTTCATTGAAGTTCAGTGACGTAACTGAAACCCTGGGGGAGAAAGTGTTGCAGGGGAACTTCCACGCTGATTTTCGGGATGAGCCTTTACCCTGGAAGCTTTCTCTGAAGGTTTTGAATAGAATAAGCAGCAAGGTAGTAGGAAAGCAAAATACTTGACATCTGCTGGCCACAATGTACCAACGACAAGGCCATTACTATCCCTTTTTACTACCGCGGCGTGAAAGCAAAAGCAGGGCTCCGGGTGGAGCGGACAGATCCCGACAACCAGAGCAAGCAGGGAAGTTTTCCCAAAACCACAAAATCCCCGTGTGCAGGCAAGCACTTCAGAGCGCCTTGAAGGAGGAAAATAAACAACCAAGCGCAGGAAGGAACCGCGGCGGCGGAGGAGCGGCAGCGATGTGCGGGGAGCGCCGCGCCCGCAGCCGCGACCCCCGAGCGATGCGGGCGAGCACCGGGAGAACCAGGGGACAGCGGCAGGTGCAGGAAGGGAAAGCGGGGCTTCTGGAGCCTGAGGGGGAGGCAGCGGCCCGGGGAGGGTGCGAGGGGCTGCGGCGGGGAGGGGAAGGGGCCGCGGCGGGCGGGGGCGCGGAGGCAGCCGGGGGTGTTTCGCTGCACTCACGGGCGAGTCGTAGGAGAAGGCGCACTCCGTCTTGTAGACCCGGTCCCCTGACTTGGGCACCCGGATCGTGGGCATGTAGGGGACCAGCAGCTCGCCCAGGTCCCCGGCGGCCATCTGCGCATCGCCGCCGCGGAAGAGCGCGGCCCGCTGCATCCTCCTTCCCTCCCTCCCTTCCCTTCCCTTCCCTCCCTGCTCCCCTCCCTCGCTCCCGGCCGCCCGCCCTCCCTGCCGAGCGGCTCTGCGCGGCCGATGCAGGCGGCGGGCAGCCGGGCCCGGGGCAGGGCGGCGGCGGCAGCCGGGCCCGAGGGAGGGCAGGGGGAGGGAAGATGCTATTTTTAATCCAATGGCAGCGGGAGCGGCACCAGCTGCGGCGGCGGCACCCGGGGGTCCCGGCGGGGGCGGGCGAGGGGCAGGACGGCGGGGGCGGGATTCCCGCGGAGCGCCGCGCTTCACCTGAAAACATCGGTAGGGAGCACGGAGATTTCGCTCCTGGTCTCCCCAGGTGGCCGGTAATACTCTGAAATAGGCGGTTATTTATTTTTAAGCATTTAAAGACTCTATATATATGTGTGTGTGTATAGGTATATGTATGTATGTATGTATATATGTATACACATGTATATGTATGTCTGTACGTATRTATGTTGATATGTATATTGATATATATGTATCTGTTTGTATGAAATATATACAGTAAAAAACCTCTTTTACATCTTTTCATTCTCAGCCCATCTGAAATTGCCCAGTGCCGCGGTCCGGGTTTCTCACGTGTCCCAGGTTTTGTCACGGTCCCACCAGGGCTGTGCTGACGGTGGGATGTCCTCATGGTCCAGAGGAGCAGATCGGGATGGGGGAATACAGGGTGGGAATGCCCAGTCTGGGATGCCCGAGAAGCCTATGGCAATGCCAGGAGCCTGAAGGATTTTTTAAGCCTTTACCTTAAAACGTCCTTTTTTGGCCTTTGCTGTTTCTCTCTGCTTTTCACTTTGGAAGAATAATGTTAGGAGAAGGAGAGATAGAGTGAACTTGGTAGGAAAAAAATTTGCTATTGTTTTTAAGCAATATTTAATAATTACTACATCTGCTGGGCAGCAATAGYATTAAAGTAATGACCAGCCCATTTAAAATGAAGATGCATAATGCAGATGAAGAGCCTTCCATAGCCCACACCGTATCCAAGGATTTCTCAATCACTTCCAAGCAGATGATGTGACCTTTGCTAGAACTATCTTTTCCCTCAAAAGTAAAGGTGGTTCTAGGAAAAATCTCAAAAACAGAATTGAAAAATGTTTGTATCCAGCTATGAAAAGGCTGTGAGGGTAAGCAGAGTAGCACAGTCCGTTCTCAGCAATTTCTTCTAGTAAAAGTTCAAGTGCTGGGAACAATGTGAAACACAAGCAGAACGTGATGTCCATGGAATGGTTTTAGACTTACTGAAAAACAGACATTACATCAGACTTGTGAGCATCATTGGATRCTGGATAAAAAACATCAGTACAGGGTCAGACAGATTTATTTTACCTGAGGAGACTCTGTGCTTTTTAAATGRCTTCTCTTCTGAGTACCTCAGCATTTATAAACAATGAGAGCCATAATAAGACATATAAGCCATCCAACCTTTAAGATTGATTCTAACAAAAAGGACAAGCAAAGCACTGATAGAAAATCAATGTCTTTCTAATGTTTGGCAGTGCCAGGAAACAGCAAACAAGGCAGTTTTTGCTTAAAATAGTCCATGCGGTGTTGCCTAATGTAAGAAAAAAAATAGGATTTTAAGTTTCAAATCACTAGATGATATGGAGTTAGTAAAGGGCTTGGGCTTATTTCCTTTAAAAAGTAAGGATTTTAAATATGGACAGATAATTTAGAGTCACAGATTGTAAGAGGCACTTTCATCACTCTTGAGAAATTTAAAACCAAGAGTACCATGGCCTRTAGAACCTGAGGAAACACATCCCTCTAGTGGCAAAAACCTGCCAGGTAAAGAGAGAACCCTTYCTATTCCCTATAAAGTTGCCAAAAACGGTGTAGAAAACCAGMTGTACAGTTCTGAAAATGCATGGCAGGTTTGTGTGAAGGTATTTTTCTTACTTCATCTCCCACCAAACATCTCACACAAAGCACTGAGAAAGAAAAACCCTCAGTTTCTTGAACATTTCACTTAAAACTATAAATACTAGAAATCACAAAATGAAAACTAATATTACCAACTCATTTCATGTATGTTCTGAAGTAAAGGAGTGATTGTTGGCAATTGACATATGGCATTTTCACTGATTAACAGCTTTAATAGCTGTATGAGTTTACTGCCACACASTTTCTTTCAAGATACTGGAATCAACACAGACATTTTTATTCATTTCCATCAGCGAACAGCAGGACATCTGTTCCATAGTTCAGTCACAATTTGTCAGTATGCATTTAAGACCTTGCATACTGTCCTGAAATTGTTTAATTGTCAGGTGTGGATTTCATAGAATTGTCAACAAGATTTTTGTCGGGTGTTTCATAATGGTACCAAGGTCCATCTCCCCGGTGTCTCATCAGTCTGCGTGCCTCCAGCTCCAGCATCCTAAAAAAAAGGCAACAGACACTCTCAACAAGAAGTTGATGTTTAGCATCAGGGAATTACTGATTACAGCAATGACTTTAGCATCTGTGGTTTGGAAATACTGCTGAAACCTAGGTAGTACCAAAATATGAAGGGTTCAATGAAAACATGAGCTATTAAAACTTTATATTTTCTTTTTTTTTCAGCAAGTCATTCACAAAGGAATAATAAAAATACTAGCAGGAGTTTTGTTACAGGTTTTTGCCTAGCTGTGAGTATTGGCAGGGGCAGAAAGAGCTGTCCATTTGCTRATTCAGGAAGACAGAGCTGTAACTKTATAAATRCCAAGTGTTTTRAAGAGCCCCTGCCCTTGGATTGTTCTGGTAACCTGAATCCTGAGAGGGCAGCRACAACAGATACCACGAGTCCCACTCTGGCAGCAGCCAGTGCAGGCAGCTCTCAGGGGATACATGAAAGCACTTTATGTCAGCTCACTATRTCATGCAAAATCAAAGAGTCAGCTACAGTCTGGATCAGTATTTTAACCCCCCCAAGTACAGAACATACCTCAGTTCAGTTTTCTTCGCTTCGACGTGAAGCAGAGCCATGTCCTTCTCATAATTCTTCTCAGGGGGGTCAAGCAAGTACCGAGCTATCCAGCGAGTTATGGGGTGCTGGAAAACAYCCAAGCAGAGATTATTTGTGCCATTTCCAACTAGAAACATCATCATAACTGAATCATTTTATATATCCACAGTCCTGCAAGGATGTCGATACCATGAGTGCTGCTATTCAAACTGCAACAGTAATGTTACAAACATGCACAACTATTTGTGAGATCAGAACCCTAAAAAGTCACTTTCTTTTTGCAGTTTTTAATGCCAAGATAATCTGCAGATGGCTGCTATGTAGCAAAATTAAAATTTAATGCAAACTTATTTTCTTACTGTTGAAATGAAGCTCCCTAAACTGCCACTGTAATCACAGAAGTGGACTCCAAACCTTACTGCAATCAGCAACATTTCAAAGTTTTGCTTCCACATAGAGGGCATTTCACCAGAAGCCAAAATCTAAATGAGTTGAAATAGTCACAATAATATTGCTRAATTCAATTACTTCCTATCAGAAACAAAACAGTATTTGCAGCAAGAAGCCAGGGACTAATTTTAAGAAAACACAATTAAATTAAAACCATACAACCTTRAGTTTCTGGTTATAAAAATCTTAAATTGCAGATACAAAAGTGTGTGTGATATTGGACTTTAAAACAGCACTGGCAAACAACACAAMAGAAAAAAATGTCACTTTAAACTCCAGTTTCTTAAGACATGTTAGAAAAGAAACAAAGACAAAACCTGCTATGAATGCAGAGGATTGTTCTTACTATTTGGGAATATTATAGAAGAATTCTTGGAATCCAGCTTCAGAAATTTACTGCATACAGAACATTTGCATCTGCTCATGCCAATAAACAGATTTCCTACAGCCTTATGCATATTCCATAAAGTCACAAAAAAGTTTACCAAAATCACAACTGCACTATTTGAGTTTTACTATACTGATACCCATCATCCTACTCCATAGATTTTACTCCCAAAAGAATCATAAAGAAAAGGGCTGCCCACAACATGCCCACCCTTTTGCATGTTACACTCACTTTGTAGTATTCCCAGTGCTCTGGAACATAACCATCRGGAATCTCTGCAAGTTCAGCTTCACCTGACAAGGGAAAGAGGGRAGAAATATTTGGAATATTTAAGATTATTTTCCAAAACTATCTTGCATTATGCCATTCAGATTAGGAAAATATCGTTATTCCACAGAGAACACTTAATCCCTCACTGTGAGGTCTATTCAGAAAAACTGAACTTTCAATTTTTGCAGACACATCACACTACAAGTATCTAGCTCATAGATTTTCAGTGACACACTGAAAGGGTAAAATTAGCAGCTTGGATCAAGTCCATAGAAATGCCTTTTAAAGTACAGGAGCTGAAAGCATGGATTTTTCCTGATTGCTCTATTAAATTAATTACATATCATTRCAGCAGCAGATTTAACACATGTACTGCCAAGCAGAGTTATGGCATCTTCAYTAAATAAAAAACAGAGTTGCAGTCTTGTTAAAACCATTGTAAAACGACGTAATACAGACCACTCATGTGATGACAGAACTGTTTACTAAACCTCACTGATGTCTGTAAGACTGCCAAAAGATGGAATTTTTTTTTTAGATGTGGGAAACTTCTTTTAAAAAAACAAGAACTAAAGCAAATATCCTGGGAATATTTTCTATGTTCTTATACAGTATTAGTGTACCTTTTAGGCCTATTGCATTGTCTTCCAAAGAGCCTTAAAAGATCCCTTTTCTCTATCCAGCATGCTCAGTCCCTCTTTAACAACTCTGAATGCACTTTGCTTAGCTCTCACATGACAGAGCACTCACCAATGAAGACGTTGATATAGGTTAGGAGCAGTGCCACCGGTATTCCTGTCAGGAATATATAGAATCTCTGCAGAGGGAATAAAAACAGTGTGGGAAACTCAGAACCCGGACAAAACATACATGAGATCTGTCTGAAAATGGTGGAACAGCCAATAACTCTTAGATTTGCATTCCTAGGTTGGAAAGGGATGTTGTATGTAAACATTGCTGATTGCAATGAGTTAATTCTTCTTCACATGAATAATGCCAATCACATTTTAGATTCCGTATAAAGGAAATGCTATTTTCAGCACTCTTACACCGCTTGCAAGCGATGTTTTATACTGGATACAATACATTTGATTTTTAACTCACCAACAAGCTCAGAAATCGAGAATCATAAAAACTTGTTGCCTTGATGATAAACATTCTCTTCCCATGGTCGCCGCTGTGTCGTACAGGAACTGAAAATTGAACCAAAATATTAYGGTTTTGTACACCATTGGTGCTTACACAGGACAAGGTCAAACACAGGTAAGGAAAGAAAAATAAAGAGTGTACAGCAGCGGCTGAGTCAGTACGAGCTGGTTTTCTAGACTTCACCTGAATTAATTTCGTATTTTGCTAGCATGAACCTAATTTTCTTCTAAGTTTAGCTGTAGATCTATGACTACCTGTAAGCAGCAACATGTGAATCAGGGAATGTCACCACACAGGGCCAAGTCAATTGACAATTAGAATGCCAGGAAGATCGGCCTCCCGCCCGTTTTTACCCGTGTTTTACCCAAACCCGGCCGTTTTTCATAGGAACGGGGACACCGCATCCGCTCAGCCCCCGGCCCTCCCGCGGCCTCCGGGAGGGCACCTCTGCCCCGCTCCGCAAGGTCACCTCGCGCCCGCCGCCCCGGCCCCGCCGCGGCCGTACCGAGGATGCCGGGGAGGCGGGGGGCGATCCCGGTGATGCCGGTGATGCCGGTAGTGCCGGTGATCCCGGTGGTGCCGGTGATCCCGGTGCTGCCCGCCCGCCGAGCCGCCCAGGCCGCGGCCGCCCGCAGCACCCGGCTCATGGCCGCCATGGCTGGGTCTGGCACGGGGCGGGGCCAACGGCGCCGCTGCCATCCGCGGGGTGAAGCCGGCGSCTGCCATCTTGGGTAAGGGCAGAGCTGTCCCGGTGCCCCCGGCGCGGTGGGAGGGCACTCGGTGAAGCCGCGCAGGCGCCATCTTGGAAAAGGGTGGAGCCTTTCCCGTTCTTGATGTGCCGCGGAGGAGCGCGGGGTGAAGCCGGGATGGTGCCATCTTGGAATAGGGCAGCTCCCGCCCCGTGCCCCGGCGCTGTGGGAGGGATCGGCGCGATGGCGGCGGCCGCTGCCATGGCCGCGCTGGGCCGGAGCTTCACGGCCGCTCTCCGGCTGCCCCGGGCTCGGCCGGGACTCCCCGGGTACGCATCCTGCCGGGGGGACTCGGGCTCAGGCACGGGGTGGGCGGGCGCGGTTCCCGGGAGGAAGGAGAGCCCTTGGCGGGAGGCGGCTGTCCGTGTGTCCGTGTGTCCGTGTGTCCTGGTGTCCGGCCGTGCCGGCTCCGCCAGCCTGAGGGCTGCAGCTCCGTGTAAGGGCAGCACGAAGCTGTGCCTGTTAGAATCCTCAGTTATTGTGCTGGTGCTTCCAGCGTGGGTGGGTTTTGTGCTTTCCCTTGTGGCCAGAGTTTTTGCCATTGAGGCCACGAGGGAGGCCGTGAATTCTCCCTCTCCCCCAAACCCGCCTGGATGCGTTCCTGTCACCTGCTCCAGGTGACCCTGCCCTGGTGGGGCTGTTGGACTGGATGATCTTTAGGGATCCTTCCCAGTTCTAAAAGTTCTGTGATGTACTCTTGTACAGCATAGCTCAAATTTATTCCTTAATACTTAATTATTATTTTTCTCTGCGAGTAAAAAAACTGATAATTAGATGAGATGAGGGGGAGAAGAAAACACTAAGATGACATTTTTGTAATTAACCAAACCCCTGTCTTTTCACCCCAGGCCGTGGTCTGTCTGTAGGACCTGTGCCTTTGAATGAATGAACGTTCTAATGCCTGTGAATGAAACAAACGTTCTAATTTAGCAGAATATTATTTTTCTTACCATGCATAGTTTTCCTTCTAACTTTTATGCAGGCTGGTGCTGAATCTGTACCACAAGAACCTACCAAAAGTTGAGCCCCTCCGTCAGGTGAAGTTCCTGCACACGACTGTGTCTCGGAAGGGTCTGGAGGAGTTTTTTGATGATCCAGGAAACTGGGGGGAAAAAAGTGTAAAGTCTGGTGAGTTATATTTAGCATTTCTGATAGTGATCTTTGAGCTGAAATCTGACCCGTTTTTTTTGCATCATAGGGAGTATTCATAGCTACATAAAACTTAATTTTCTATGTGTATGTGCATGCATCACTTGTGCATCTTTATGCCTGTCAATTTTTGCTGTGTGTGGTCAGTATTTATGAAAGCAAATAGTAATTGTGCAGCAAAATGTTTTGCTGTAAATTGTCTGCCTTGCTGTGAAATGAGAGTGTATCCYAGAAGATACGTGCTTTGATGAAATTTAGGTACTATGGAAGAAAACTAATTCAATGTAGAGATTCATCTTACACTTTCCTTGTTCCCAGCCTTTTACAAATACAAATAAACGTGACATGTAATTGCCTCTTAGTTCTGTATATTAAAAGCAAAGCTGAATATCCTCAAGGATAGATGTCCAAGCAGTAGTATTTTTTTAAAAGTGATCCTTGTTCTGTGAGCCTAATAGAAGCACTGTTTTTCTTCAGAATAAGAGAACTTTGTTCCATTAAATTAATGGTGTTTTTTTTGCCTTTTTTTTTTTTTTTTTTTTTTTTTTACAGGAGATTCATGGAATATAAAGCAGCTAAGGGGCAAAAGTAGTGAAGACTTGCACAAACTTTGGTAAGGAGGTTTTAGTGAAGAATCTTCTCTTCTTATCTGTAGGCTCAAGCCAGCTTTGGGATTGGAACAGCCCCAGTCCTGKCCCTGCTCAGAACACAGAAGCTGCACTGCAGGTGGCTGTGGGGCAGTTTTGTCCTGTTCAGAGGGTTCAGGTTTGGTACAAACCCTCTGGGGGTTGTTTGGATTGGACAGACTGGGGCACTCCATTACTGAGCAGGTCTGCATTTATTCAGATTTTGGAAGTCTTTGAGGYAGCCTTTGCCAGGCTAAACTTAATCATTACTGTGAACAACTTTTTCCTTGTTCTGTCTTGTCCTTTTGCTGTGTACATGTAAGAAGAATCTGGCTCTCTCTATTGTTTAAGACAACTTAGTATTAAACTCTTCCCTCCCAAGCCTTCTTTATTCCTAACTAAGTAAACAGGATATAGGATTGATTGTACTGTGCTCTATCCCACAGGATAGTAAGTGAATAACTGCTGAGCTATCCAGAAGTTATTTTTCAATTACTGTGCTTTTTGATCTAGGTATGTCCTGCTGAAAGAAAGGAACATGCTCTTAACTTTAGAACAAGAATCCAAACGACAGCGCAAGCCTATGCCAAGTCCAGAACGATTAGAAAAGGTAACTTGCTCATGCTGCATAAAAATATACCTGAGTAAAATTGCTGAAAGATTAAATGTTGCCACATCCTGAAACTATTTACCATTTCCAGGTAGAAACATCTATGAAAAATATAGACTTGGTTGTTAGAGAAAGAGAGATTGCTTTGAGGCTTTTACAAACAGGCCATGAAAAGCCAGTTCCTGGGGAGTGGAGACACGACTTCTTGGGACGCACCTTCTGGTATGGAAAACCTTTTTTTTAATGCATTAATTTCTCTTGTAGTGTTGCTCTCCCCCAGAAAATCCTTGTCTAATCAAGGAAGGATGCATAAACTGTATAGAATACAGGAGATACAGTTACAAACTAAGCCAGCAAGAGCTGGAAATAAGAATTTGTGTGTGGGTATTATCTCCCAGACCACTTTACCACTGTGCTTGAAACCAAAAGGAGCTGGTGGAATTCCAGAATGAAGATGATGTGTACCTTCTGTAATCACTTTTATCTGTCTCCAACAGGTACAGTTACAAGGAGTGGCCAATACCATGGCACTTGAACAAGAAACACAGAAAGAAGAGATTCTATTACTTACCTCATGTGAATCACTTCATCAGGTAAAAAGATTTCTTCAGCATTGGAAGTTATTTTCTCATCTGTTCCTGTCCTTTCACTTTACAGGGAAAAAAAAAAAGTAGTAATCTTTTGTTCTTCAGCTACTAGACTGAAAATTGGGCTTTTTTTTTTAAATCACAGCTTGCTCTGTTTTTTTTTTTCTGTTCCCATCTTACTAAGAGACATGGTTATKCAGTTGCACTGTAAAAGTAATTTCAAATGCAGACTACCAAAAATCCTTCCAAAGACTGAATTTCTGTAGAATTTAGAAGCAGAAGATAAAACTTTGCTTTGCAAGCTTTTTTCCTTATCAAAAGCCAATGAGTACTGAAGCTGTTGTTCATCAAGAGCCTGTATTTATTAGGGGGGTGAGCTCATTAAGGTGGTCACAAACTGGCTGGAAATTAACCACACCAACTTCTCTGTTTCAGACTCAGACTTGAAAAAGCCTTACGGAAAAGAGCAAGGCAGCAAAACCTGGAGAGGACAAGGCAGAAGATCTTGGAAAGGAAGTTCCCTCACCTTGCTGTGAAATCCCAGAGCCAGTAACATGCCAGAGGAGCACTGCAAGCAGTTGGTCAAGTGTCTGTGGAACATGGATCRTGTTCTGGTACCACAAACAACTCCACTGAGCATTCCAGGGTCTCCATCTTTTTTTGTTTGTTTTTAATACATTTGACTTTAATTAAACTTGTGATCTGGAATTAARAAGTAGCTTTGGTACCTAAATCAATACCATTTCTCACATTTCCAGAAACAAATTGTTAGCCAGCTGTTACAAGAGTGAGACATCCATCAGTAATAGTGAAGAGCAGCCACTGAGAGCCAGCTAAGAGTAACAAGTGCAGCGGTAATATTTACCTCGTTTAATTAAACCATTAAAACCAGACAGAAACATGAAGGCATCTGCAGCCCACATGAGCCTTTTCCCTGCTCATATTTTTCTGATAKATTTTTTCTGAGTATTTTCCCCAATTTACAGGTAAGCTACCCAAGGTGTATTTGCATTCTGCGTAAGTGCACTAGAAAATGGGCTCTTCAGTCTGCCCAGAGAACCTTTTTCCTCTGCTTGAAGTCTGGCTTCTTAGAAAGTATGAAATATTCATCATAGAAAATTTTAGTAATGCAGTCATGATGCCGAGATTTCTATGACAAATACAAACACAGAGTGCAAATGTTTGAAGGAAGACTGCAACATTCTTTTGTGAAATTGAAGCAGGCACTGCTGCTGCTTTTAGTCGATGGAAACACCTTCATCTTTCACTTAATGAAAGCTTTTAACCTCCACATGAAGTGGTCTAGATATCTAAAGTCACAAATACCAGTCTTTCAGGAAGCAATTGTGCTCAGCAATACAACCTGGTAAAACACTGCAAGGGAACCAATAGTTTCCCCTCAGCATCTGTCTCTACCATTGACCTTCACTGGCCTGCATCACACCAAATTCCCACCGTTTGAACTCAGAATATTTCCAGAGGTGAGAAAACCTCCAGAAGTGTTTTGCTCTCCCTATGCTGCTGGAATATTTACAGATCTTAGTATTATACTGCAGTTTTTTTTTTAAAGATACACAGAAGGTAATAGCTCATTTGGCATAATGAAATCTAAGCATGCCACAGAAGGAAAGCTTAAAACACTCACTGCAGTGTWCTGAGGTCCAAGTTCAGTTTATGTTCCATGTTCCACTTGAAAACAAAATGGACTCAGTTTTTCTTCCAYAGTGACAAGAGCTGGTGACTTGGTTCATTTGGTGTAACTTTGCAGTTTCCCCCATTTTGCAAGAGAAACAGGGTTTATCAATAGCTTTGAAAATCTGGACCAAGCAACTTTGTCTCGAGCAAATCACGAGTCTTATGATACAACAAAAGCAGACTGGTTTGATAAATTACTTTATTATTTGGAGGTAATGTGAAACTTTTCAAACAGAGGCCTCATAATTATTTACCCACAAGATCTTTTAGGATACAAAAATGTAGCAGTACAGTTTACTTTTTTTTTTTAGATCAGTTAAATGCTATTTGGTTTTTCCACAGCTTTCGAGATAAGGAGCAAAACTTCATTGTGTCCCAAAACAGACCATCACACCATTGTAAATGAAAGTAAGCTTAAAAGCAACATTGAGCTGCAGCTTGACAGCCAATTCCTGCTGAAAAATAAAGTCATCCCCTTCCCTGTGACCCTGAGTGCACCTTCCCCCTGCAAACACAGGCACTTACAGACCCTGCTGGGAGGCAGAGGGAGTCACACAGCAGCTGCTCCAGCTCCCTGCAGCAGGGTCAAGCCACACACTGAAAGCTTCTGACTCTGCTCCCAGTCTTGGAGAGGCAATTCTTTGTCTCAATTTCCCTGTCTCGAACAAGTTTTGCTTCTCACCTACATCACAAAGGCATTAAATACATTCTCAGACATCAGGTGGAAAGCATTGCTTGCTTACTGAAATGAAACTGCTCCATAATAAAAAATTAGCAAACCAGTGCTTAATATAACATTCACTCCTTGGAATGTAACACTTCTGTGAGACAGTAAAAGTTTACACTAAAATAGATCACTGAATACAAACTTTCAACTTTCAAAACAGCTGAGTAACTTTCTCTGCCAAGTACTCACAAGGTTGCTCAAATATAAAAGACCAAATTTTATTTTAAGAGAAAAAGAAGAGCAATTTAAGGCCAAAGTACCAGCAAGGAAGACTAGTATGTGAAAATAGACAAGAAATTAAACAAGAAATATTTAATAAATAAGCACAGGCATTTGCAAGGTTATGCCTCTATCTATTAGCTAACCTGTAAAGCTGTTCCCAGGAAAAGATACTAGAGAAAATAGACATTTATACAAAATTATAAAATGCTTGTTACATGAATTATTGCTTTACAAGGGACGTAAACATCCGTTTTCTATTATAGTACCAATTAGGTCTCAATTTCTAAAGGTTTGTTAAAATGGAACTTGAATTATGCAAAAAACCCAATATAAACTTTCTACAAAAAAGAGTCCATCCCATTCCTGAGTATGCTAAAGCTATAAAACAGAAGGAGCACCGAGCAGGCAGCAGTTTTCACAGTAAGAGGTCTAAGGACATTTTCTTTCTACACACTGTTTCCCTCCTTCTTCATATTCTTGTTTAGAAATCCACATCTGCTGGAAAGTACCCTACAAAAATAAATTTAAAAAAAGAAAACCAACACACAATAAAAAAATTGGTCAGAAAACAAATGAAGATTAATTGAAACATGATTAGCTTTTCCTAGGAAGGAAACAAGCAAGTTGTTACATTAAATGAGGTAGTAGGACTWGATCTGCTTAACTGTCTCTTCCTTGACTTTTATTGCCAAGGGATTAAACTCAAGACAGGAAGTGCAGTACCAAATGCTGATTTCAGTTTCCCTTGCCCATGATGATAAATTAACCCCTACAAACCATTTCAGTACTCAGTAACTTATAACCCTAAACTCAGGAATATGATGCAGAAACGGGTTTGATACTTTCAAGGTCTACAAGACACATGCAATTTCTCTAGACTGTATTTCAAGTTTGTATGTTGCCATTAAAAATGGGAGAACGTGGCAGGATATTTTTGTCACTGGAACTGCTCATGTCTCTTTTTGAACATTCTCTTCACCATGAGGACAGACAAGATTATGATTATATACACAAACTCTGCCACACACACTTTTGGGCAATCAGATTTCTGGGTGACAGTGCTGTTTAGCACAGTAACACAGGTTTACTAACCAAAGAAGCCAAAATGGAGCCCCCAATCCACGAGCTGAACCTCCGCTCCACAGTCGTGTTGTTCGCTATCAACTTCAGGCGCATGCTCTGCACAGAAACGGAGCCAAAACCAAACAATCAGACAAACTGTCAGCTGGTGACCTTCAGGGACAAGAAGCCTGAGCAATCTGGTGAATATGTCAACATGCAGGTGAAAAAAGATCCATTTCATTACACTTGCAATACTGCTCCATCTGCCTTGTATTGAGAATTCAAAAATTCCAGCCACAGTGGAACAGGAAAGGTGGTGGCTTTTTCTTTGTCTCCCAACAGGGAGCAGCAACAAATGCTTAAGGCAAGGAATGGGAAAGGTGGAGAGCAATCATCTCACAGTGCATACTGTCATCTCCAAAACTGCACTGAAACTAAAWCAACTAATGTTACTAGACTTAATTCATAGTCTTTTTTGGACCCATTCATTCCTTTTGCTTTCAAAATGCCTTGCAGAAATAAAATCTTTGAATTTCAATGGATTCCTCCTCAGCTATTATAAGAAGTGAACACCTTTCTCAGTTTCTCCTAACATTCATCATGTCAGAGTTGTCACCAGCAGAACATTTTTACTTGAATACTAAAATTCAAGAAATATCATAAGCTATCTCTACTCACAAGTGTAAGGGTATCAATGGTTTTTTTGACATCAAGTAATTACAGAAATATATGTAAGAATGTTAYAGACAAAACCTGATGATCTGAGGTGTCTGCAGAATTGAGGAAAAAGAATTGCCACAATTAAGTGACAAGACCTCAGGCAGAACAAGTGAATGTGCCTCAAGTTAGTCAGCAAYACTTCAGAAGAGAGACCATCAAGGGAAATCCTGACTGTTGCTTGGGGACAATTACAGAATTTAGGATCACAATCTGAAACCAAGAGTGAAGCAGTAAAATATTCAAGGTATATTGGAATTTTTTCTGTATAAAAACTCTTCAAGGATTCTTTCTTTTCTTTAGAGAGGAASGTTTCTTAACCCTGCAGAAATCTGTTCAGCTGTCAGGCTCCTAATGAAGTCAAAGCTATGATATCCTTGTGTATTTATGTGGCAGGAAAGCAAAATGTTAAGTACTCAGTGCAGTAATGGAAAGAGTTGTTTTACCGGTGGAGTCTTCTGAGACAGCTCCCTGTTCAATCTGTCTGTGAAACTCTGTATTAGAGTGTTTCCTCCTGCTACAATCACACTGCCATAGAGACCCTAAAAAGAGAAAAAACATCCTASAGTATTAACTCTGCAATCATTCTGAAAACAGTTTTAACAATAGAAAGGGGTGGCACATGAGTATGCACAGTCAACAGMAATGATAYATCACTYGATGCCAACAGTATKGMCTYCCCCARTTCAATTGTTTAATCACTTAAAAAATATTGCAAGACAGCTTAACACAAAACTATAAAAGAAAGACAGAAGCCATACGATTAATGATTCTAAATGATTTCACGGAACAGTTGCTACTATGGAACCTACAGAGCAACTTACAGATCTCCCACGTATACAAAATGTTGGTTTTCATAAAGCTGAAAACCATAAAACCATATGGTTTTCATATTTTCTTTTATAACCATAAAAGAAAACCCCACAGCCCTGACCCAGTTCTATCTCTGTAAAGCTGCAATTGGTGAACACACACCATGGCACAGACCACTCAACCCTCCTCACATGCTGGTTAACAGAAAAAATTTTTGAAACAAGTCCCATATAGTCTGTATCACTGACACCTGAGAAAGACAGAACATAGTTTTAAAAATAAAATTTTCCTTTAAAACTTCATCTCTTCCTTCTACTCTTTATAAATTCTATGTATGTTCTAAATATAATGATGCCTAAAAATCTGAAGATAACACTCAAAGTTAGAAACATAAAATTGTTATCTGAAGCCAGTCCAAGATAAAATTATGTAGTGCCAGCCACAAAATCTGCACATTTGATCTTTAAATATGTGTAGAAACACTATGTAAAAGATCTTGATTTAGCATTTTGTAAGACAAAATACTACTGGTACATATCCCTACAATAATACTTACAGAATTATTCTAATGGATTTATCATTATCCTAGGAAATCCACACTTCTTCACTGTTGCTGTTCTAGYCCCAAAAACATGCATCAGCACAAAAATATCTATGCCTTAAAATACTGCCTGGCTGACTAACACTTACCGGCCTGATGTCTATATCACACATTCCAACGCTTGTTGTGACAACGTGGCTCACACCCAGCATCGTGTTACCAGATAAACCCTGCAAGGAAGATTAGSAATCTACACATCATTGATTCAAAAGAGCAAGGCATAAAAAAAAGTCCTGAATTAGTTGAATTTACAAGTATTGCTAGAGAGGAAGCTACGCATTTTGTTAGGGAAGGAACAAAAATATTCCTATTTTTCCCAATCAGCTCATCACCACCCATTTTGAACATTTCATTCTGCCCTCAACCAGACATAATTCAAGACAGGCAAATTCCACAGAAGACCCCCACGGTGCAAATACATCCCAATAATGAAATTAAAAACATTATCCACAAGGAAGCCAAGTGATAACCTAGTCATGTAAAGCCCTCCAATCACAGCTATCACCGTGGTTTTACCTTTACATTGGAAGGRTCAAACAATCCCTCAGGAATTTTCAGGCGCTCAGCACCAAAGTCACAGTTGTAGCCATTGGGGAACTCGTAATGAACTGTTGGCATCTGTGCTGCTACCCTGGAGCATCAGGCAGAAAGCAACACATTGAAGTGCTCTCTAAACAGGAGATCATGTTATCTAGGCAGCATTATAAACTACAGTTCCAACAGAAATATTGTGATTCATACCACTTGCATTTCCAATAACATTATGATCTCATCTTAGAATGTTAAACAAAAAACTATCACCTGGATTTACACAATATTCATACTTTCATAAATAAACAGGTTTTAGGTAGCAGCTTCTTCCATAACCAAACAAGCCAACAGCAATGAAMAGGCTGAGCACCCCATGAACAACTGGTAATTGATTTTACAAGAAAGAAGAAAATAACGTACTGCTCATCATAGGTTGAATCTGATACTTGGAGGACAGAAGCTTGGAAGTCCTGAATGACACACTGTGGAGTTAAAAATAACATGATTATATAAATTATAGTCTTCAATTTTACATAATTTATAGAATTGGTACTGCCTTACTAAAGATTTTTTAGTTCTTCAAGAGAAAACCTCAGTATCCTTGCAAACAAAACTTATTTATGGAACACTCAGGGCAGGTGAGAGCAGGAGGAATGACCTACTTACATTACACATGTAGTTGTGCCAAGACCTGGTGACCTGGGGCAACTTCTCTTTTCTCTTCCAATTTGCTGGTGACCCCTCACGAACTGCCTCCTGAGATTGTAGGGTACACAATCATCAGGTAAACATTAAAGACCCTCCCCAAGAAAACACTTAATAAATAAAGTTACTTTCCCACCTTTGAAGCAATCATATATGGAGGAATTATCTCTATGTTCATTTCCTGAAACAAYTCCCGGCACTGCATCGTAATAAAGTCTCCTGCAAGTGGTGATTTTACAATACCTAGAGGGCAAAGAGAAGATCCAAAATAAAAACCAAAACAATTAACCTGGAAAGTATCCATATTATGAACAGCCTGTCCCAGCTATTTGTCAGTGAACACTATTAGTGTTTTTTTTCTTTTTTAAGGGACACACAGATGTAAAAGCAGTAACAAAAGTGTCCAAGCAGAAATCAAGTTAATTTGACCTATTGCAAAGCTGTTACCCATGAAAGTTTATACCTTGCTGAAGTACATATCCATCATGCACTGGAATAGCAGTGGTGTGTGTTGCTCCACTATCCAAGATGAGACCTGTAGATCTCCCATTAGCAAAACTASACAAAACGATTAAGGAAAATAGTTTTCACTTTAGAAAAAAAATGTTGCCATACAATTAGATCATAACAAGAAATGAGGACCTCAACATGTTATTGGCTCTACAAAAGGATTTGTCGTTTATTCTAGAGTGTGCTACCTTTMTGTGAGGTCCACCTCATAGATAGAGGAGAATTTAACTTCTATCAGTGATCTCAAGCTTTGGAAGTACCAGGGTAAAACTTCACTTCTATGGAGCAAATTCTAAGTGCATCCAACTCATTTACACTCTGAAGGTGAAAATATRTTATTATTAATTAAAAATAATTACAAATACTCTCCTTAAGGCTATGAAAACTTTAAGCTCTAATTACTGTAGTAGCATGGACACCACCATTTCGAGTCTGTAATGTTCTTATTCATAGTACACAATGGAAATAAAAACAGAAATAATACGAAAAAAAATACTTGTCCCCCAAGGACAAAGGCTAGGAGAACTTCAAAAATGAGCTCTAATGCCTTGAAGTTCAGAAACGGAATTTGT